ACTAAGTGTTAAGAACTCTAACATCAAGTGTTCAAAAATGAAACACAAAGGCATTAAAAACTGAACACCACACATTCAATTGATGAACACTAAGTGTTAAGAACTCTAACATCAAGTGTTCAAAAATGAAACACAAAGGCATTAAAAACTGAACACCACACATGCAATTGATGAACACTAGTGCAAACATTTGGAACACCATTTTTGACTTAGAAAATGCATTTGTTTTTTTATTTGCAGGAATCGTTAGATTAAAATGTTTGAATTAGGAACCGGTAGCCAATAATCCCAAAAAGGTCATTTCTGCATGCTATAAAGTGGTGGAAAAAAGAAAGATGTCGAAAAAAAGGTATGACAATATATGTATATTAATAGCTTATGTGGGTGTATCATTTCTATCTGTTCACCTTAGGTCAAGAAATCGACTTTTGTAATTTATAATGTCAAAACTTGCATTTCATTGCTATAGAATATCAATGTGTACACTAGTATATATCGACATTAAAGCATAACAAGCATTGCATAATTTGATGCTTTATGAAAAACTCTCTTCTATTAATTTTTAATTTTATTTTGCAGGATATATAGGCTCATAGACATTCCTTGTTGTGGAGGATTTTGACATTGGAAGTTGATAACAACACATAAAATGCCACCCAGTTGATAGCTTTAAGTGAAGATGCACTGAAAAATGGAGCGTACATTGTATGTGATCGTACAAGAACTGTTGGAATTTGCAAACTTTTAAACTTTCATTGTGACAAATACCTATATCATAAACTATCTAATTATCACATTGACATGCTTTTTTGGTTAGGATACAAATGATGTTGCAACTATCAAGTCACGTAGGGGAAAATCATTATTTGTGATATATATTTAAGTCAGTTTAAAAACATTATGTATGTGATTTCACTGACTGTTACTTGTGATATCAAAAGTTATCTGGTGTACTTTTCTTACATATAATATGCTCATTTGATTACATAAAGAATTACTTGTTAAAATATGTTTTATTGTTATATTTTGCCTGATTGAATATAGTTTTTATAACAGTTTATTGAAGTTGAGTACTTATGGAAAATTGTGTACGCTTGAAAATAGAACATGTTCCACATTTGAACACCATCACTTTGAACACTTATGTCAACTGTTCTGAAAGTTAACGTCTGGTGTTCTGAATCTTAACACTTTGGCTTTAAACATGTTCTATGTGTTCAAAAAGTGTTACATGGCTGTTGAACGCGTCGACGTATTAAGATTTTGAACATTCGGACACGTTAAATCGTTGAACACTAAGTGTTAAGAACTCTAACATCAAGTGTTCAAAAATGAAACACAAAGGCATTAAAAACTGAACACCACACATTCAATTGATGAACACTAGTGTAAACATTTGGAACACCATTACACGTTCAAAAAGTGTTACAAAAAAGCGTTCAAGCAGTGTTCTATTTATTAACACTTAGATTTACAGTGTGCCTACACATAACTTTTTCACAAATATTTTTTTTCTAATTAAAATTAAAAAAAAATAATATACAATGTTATCTGTAGATGCACTCACGTGAACTCGTCAAAACTCTCTATCTAATTATCAAATGAATTTGTAAACTGTCTATCACCCTTAGTGAATGGAGTATTGAATATTATTGAATATAGGTATAAGAAGATGTGGTAGGAGTGTCAATGAGTCAACTCTCAATATAAGTCAAAATTTGTAAAAAGTGAACCATTATTGTCAAAGTATGGCCTTTCCACCATGAGCCTTAGCTCACACCGAACAACAGTATGTCAATATATTCCACCTTATATAGAAACTAAAAACTAGAACTTTGGTTCAGATTATTTCACTTCTATCAACAAATACTTGAATGAACCTCAACATGCTCAAAACCCTAACATTTTATTCTTAGATCTATACATGATTTTTTTTTTATTAATTAGTTATTTTTCAGCTAGCCTTCCATGTTGTCTTCATCCGACCCTTGCCTAATTTGGGCGTCTGGATGTATAAATATGCAGTCACGTCTGTCAGATGCCTAGTGTAGAGAGAATTCCACGCTCTCTGCACGTCAAGAAACTTGCAACAACTCTTTGAGGAATTCGTATAGGCGGTCTACTAGAATTTCTGTTCCTATCCTTTAACCCTCATTTTCCAATGCATGGCATTTCCAAATTTCAAGACCTTCATCCTGGACGACCCTGGCTCTAATTACAGGACTTAGGTACCTGTTGTATTTATTTTAAATTTGTATTTTTCTTTAGCATGTATGAATAATTTGTAACTGGAAGTTTAGCAATCAATCAATCAACTAGCTTTCAGTAACTTCGAGTACTCTCAGATCTACGTGTAATGGATATTATTATTCTAATCCCTAAGCAGGCAGAGAGTTTACAGTACACGGTATATATCAGAAAATATAAATCTATTGAATTTTCTAAGATTGTATGAACAGAACAGAACTTCTGCATGAGGCATGATGCCATTGAGTTTGAGTTGGTATGTGTTTGTGTGGCTGGGGGATGGTGAATATTTAAGTATCAAAAGATGAATGGTCGATGCGTAGTCCAAAGGATAGTATGATCATATAGCAGTCTCAGTGTTAATGTGCCTAATTTTTTAATGTAGGATCGTCAATAATGACTATCAATTGATGTATGACATCAAATATCCTCAATCAGAGTGGAATAGATATGAAACTATTTATTATAAACAGGGTTTCGACTTAATAAAGGGCTACACTGATTCACGCTGGACAATGCATATTCCAAATATTGTTTTTATATTTCCGATTGTGCTGCCGGTTCATTCATCAGTCAGACGGTTTATTGTAAAATTGTGTATATTATGCGATTTTTTTCATGTTTATTATATATCATGATAAAATTACCAGTAAATTTTATGTGTTTTTTGTACACAAAATTTGCAACTAAAATGCTGAAAACCGTTTTCCGTTGGGGGCTTCGACCCCCTGAACCCCCTACCAGGGCTCTGCCCTGGACCTTCTGGGTGCCTTAAGCGGCCCATAGACCCCCTGTCGATTTGTGCCTACAGTTTATTTTATACCTAGCTACGCCCCTGGTACCGTATCGTACCGTACCGTACTTCTTTGATATAGTAATTAAACTCATTAATGAGTAACCAATACTTGTGTGTGCATAGGTGCTGGTAATGTCTGTTTACAATAAAAGATCAAAAATAAAAAAAATGGTGCATGCTGTACAGTCGGTGAAGATAAAAATATTCCAGCATCTACATAATCAGTGTCTTGAAAGCTTCCATGATGGGAGCTTTCACTGTCGATTTCGGCAATTAATTTCAGGCTATTACTGCTTAGAAAGAATGAGAATTTGAAGTAGTCATGTCTTGGGCTAGTGTTGTTGTGTCTTGATGGTCTGTTTAGTGGAATCAGGTAGGTTTCTGTTGGAATTGCTACGAGTCCATTAACAATTTTGTAGAATAAGCATAATCTGATGTTAACTCTTCGTTGGTATAGAGGTATCCAGTTAAGCCAGCTTATCATGCTAGTGACACTTGATTCGTTGCTGTAATCGTTGAAAATGTAGCGAGATGTTCTTCTCTGTACCCGCTCTATTTTATCTAAATATGTTCCTGCGTATAGGGATCCCATATGGCTGCGCTATATTCCACTGTCTTACTAGTGCGTTAACAGCATTGATTTTTGTTTGCTGTGGAGCTTTCTTGGTGTTTTGCTGAGCATCCCTTGTGCTTGGTTTGCACTGGCTACAGTGTTGTTAATGTGTAGGTACCAGCTACAGCTTAGGTCATCTTTGATGGTAATTCCTAAGTATTTGTGTCCGTGACTACCTCTAGTTGTTTACCATGCATGTAATAGAGTTCTGTTATCAGGTTTTTAGATCGTGTTAGGTGCATCACGTTACATTTGCTGACGTTATATTCCATTTTCCATTTCTGTTCCCATTTTGTTAGTGTTGTCAGATCTTTTTGTAGGATGTCTTGATCGTGTTTGGTTCTAATATGTCGGTAGATGCACCAATCATCAGCAAACAGGCGAATTGTTGAGTGTATGTTATCAGTGATGTCATCAATAAAGATTACGAAAGGAACTGGGCCAAGTACACTACCTTGTGGTACTCCAGATGTAAAGCCCACTTTATCCGAATACTTATTTTTTCCAATACATCTGCCTGTGTTCTGTTGTCTAAAAAGGCTGAGATCCATTTGTGATTTTCTCCTCTTATCCCATAGTGTCTTAGTTAATGTAGCAGACGTGGATAGCTAACTTTATCAAATGCTTTTGCAAAGTCTAAAACTATCATATCTGTTTGAGTTTTACTGTTCATTGTACATGTTAGATCATGTATCAGGCCTATTAGTTGCGTCTCGCACGATCTCTTACTTCTGAAGCCATGTTGGAATTCGGATAGTATTTTATTAATTTCTAGATGTTAGATACTACGATGTGCTCCATTAGCTTGCAAAGGATGTAAGTAAGTAAGACAGGCCTGTACTTTGCTGGTTCATGGCGTGGTCCTCCTTCTTGTAGATTGGACAGACAAATGTGTGTTTCCAGTCTGTTGGTGTTTATCCTAGAAAAATTGATTTACTAAACAGGAAAGTGATTGTTGGAGCTAGTTCGTGATGAAGCTCTTTCAATATTCTTGGAGTTAGTTGATCTGGCCTACTTGGTTTGTTATGGCTGAGTTCTTTAAGCAGCTTTTCTACTCCATTTATGGTGATATTGATGTCGTTCATGGTGTTGAAGTTTTTGTTTCCCATATCTGGCATTTCTGTTTTATTGTCTTCAGTAAACATTGATTGGAACTGATGGTTTAATGTGTTTGCTTTATTAACTGTGACATTTAATGTCAATCCTTGATATTTCAAAGGTGGAACTCCAGCTGTTTCTTTCCTCATGCATTTTAAAAAAGAGAAAAAATTCTTTGGGTTTGGTTTGTCGTCGGGTGCTACAATGTTGGATACATAGTTCCAGTAGCATTTGCGTGTCTCGTTTTTAAAGGCAGTGCTTTAATGCCTTTCTAGCTGCCGGGTTAATCCTTCCTTCCGCGATATCCAACTTATCTACGTGGGGGGTCATTAGACTCCAAGTAGATCCGGAAATGTTGAATTCTCTCCTCTTCTTATTGCGATATAAAATGTTTTTTGTTTCATTTCATTTACATTGGGAAATAGAGAAACGATCATTGTGTTTTGTTAGTTTTGAAAACTTTTGATATATTAGTATTTTGCATTATAAGCAGTCAACCGATTGACAAACTAGAATTATTTGAATTCCGTGTGGAAAGAGCTCGGGTTAATTTCGAGTGTTATCTGCAATCTAGATGTTTATAAATCATTTCAGTCGTTGATATAATAATTAAAGGTCGACTGAACATGAATTATATTATACAATTTAAAGCGCATTTCTGTTTATGCACGTGAACCCGTCTAACGTTATTTTCGCAGTTATATAAAGTAGCAAATTATCGTTCCTGAATAGGTGGCGCCATGGTAGCGGATCCTGTTCCTCTTCTTCCGGTTTCTGCACTGTGCAACTATTTCAGTTATATTTTTAATTAACGATGCCAAGTACTTGTTGTTGTGTACCTGGATGTCATTTAAGAGGAGGACATGCATTTCCAAATGACTTAAAAAGAAGGAAAAGTTGGATCAACGCCATGGCCCATACGCAGATTGGACGAGAACACGATGATATCGTGGAGTCCATCTCAATCAGCTGTTGTTTGCAAGGCACGTTTTACTGAAAAAGACTACGTGCAGGAAACTATTCATGGTAAAACTCTATTTTCTTTGTGAAATATATAGTTATATATGTAATCGCCATGCGAATAAACCAAAGTCTGTTTACAACCGCAATTATCGTTTTAGAATTAAAGGGCAGGGGCGGATCCAGAACCTCGAAGTCTGGGGGGGCACCATGAAACCAAAATTAAAGATTTGTTTAGATATGTATATATGCGAGTGTGGGTGGTGGTGGTGTCATGTATTAGGGATGATGGTGGTCGTGGAAAGGGGGGGGGGGGGGGGGTTAGGTCTTCATTTCTATATCTTTTCATTATTTTTGGATCCATTTCTTTCTACTCTTTTATTTGCTGCCAATTGTCCTCTATTCTTTATAGTTCATCACACCTTTAATCTGTTTTCTATATTTTTAAGGCACATTTTTTTCTAGTCTTTACTTTTTGACCATTATTCTCTAATCTGTAAACCCCATTCATACCCTCATTCACGGTAAACCATTCATACCCTCATTCATGGTAACCTATTCATACCCTCATACATGGTAATTAAAACAAGAAAAAAATGTGTACACACATATTACTGTACTATAATAGAAAAAGAATGGGTATTGGGTATCCATCCACGACACAAAATCAGTACATGCACAGCAAAAAAACACACAATAAGCAAAGGAACAGCGCTTTTATTGCTGTTCTTTATCTCAAATATGAGTATAGGTTTTCTAAAAGTACAATATCATTTTATTAATGATATATATATAAGGCACAGACCATTCATGTTTTGTGGCGGGGGACTTAAGGGTTTTTTTTAAAGACAAATCATTGGTTTCCATAAAAAAAATAAAGGGAAAAAACACGACATTCAGTTTAAAAAAAAGATGTATGCATTGAAAAAAAATCGTTTGTTGTTTAATAAAGTCCGAAAAAGACTGTTCTGAGAAAGACACATTCCCCAGAAACCGTATACAATGTGAGTGCTTGGTAATAAAGACGTATCTCATATCGATACTAACATTCCTGACACAAAACATCTATTTTTACATATTCTTTTCAGACCGATTTTAGTTGGTAATTTCTTTCCTGATCAGAAGATTTCTCTTGTTAATCGATCTTGATCCTGTAATATTGTATTAGAAATCAATAAATATATTCGTATTAATTCCAATCAGCATGTAGATGTACATGTAGTTTACATAAATGCTTTTGGATATAGACATTACACAAAGGTGTCAATATTTACACACCCTTCGATAAGTTGTCATAAATCACGCATGTTGAAGCTGGGGTTAATTAACGACCAGTTTAGGAAGTCAGATCAAGCTGTGTCTTGATTTTTGATCTAGATATCTAGATAAGCAGATACAGTAGCAATAAAACTATGTTAGAAAATTTTTTGGTGACCCCGACTGGGGGGGCACGTGCCCCCTGTGCCCCCCCGGTAAATCCGCCACTGAAAGGGGGTGGGTAATTCAAGACGTCATAATTTTTTGGATTACGATTCAATGTGATCTGTTTGAGATTTTTTGGTGATTGCTACATTTATAATGATTTCTTACAAGAGGTATATCATACTGAGAATTATTTTAGCAGTAATTATGCTAATGTAGTAATGACAGGAATGCATAAGCTATGCCTCATAGACTTTCTTGAAAAATATCAATGACAATGTTAACAGGAACAAAACAATGACATGCTCTCATCTATATTATAGTTATTTAGGTACAAACAATGTACGTTTGTTGCATAAGTCTCTCATTGTTTGTCCTTTGGATTTACATAACATACATTGAATCAGGCAAACATAGTTTTATCCAGATTGTAATGAATAAATCTAGTTAATATTTCGCCAGGTAGTACAAAGTATACATTGCTAATGGAAGTTCATTTAATTATAAAAAAACTAATGTTTTATAACCTTTTTCAGGGCGCAAACCCACCATACAGAGACTTAAGTCTACTGCCATTCCCAGCCTATTTTCCTGGACCAAGCAAGAGACTGAATCGTCCGCAAAAAGAAAAATCAGGGCAGTTTCCTGTGAAAACAAAAGAACTAAACTTGATGAATATTGTAGTAGAAATCTAGAGGAAAGTTTTGATTGTAAAGTTGGTTTTCCTGAAGAAGTCATTCATACTGCAGAAAGGATTTATGACTGTCCACCACCAACTGCCGAGCTAATGTTGAGCTTCACAGATGGAATTACGCAAACACCATCAATGCCTATGTTTTTAACAGAGAATTTTGAAATGAAGACACGTGACACAGCCATGCATTTTTATACCGGTTTAGAGTTGTATACTAAATTTTTATTTGTTTTGACCACACTTGGTCCAGCAGCACATTGTTTGAGATACATATATTTTCAAATTGATAGGGTGTCAGTTGAAAATCAGTTTTTTTATGACTTTGATGAAATTGAGGCATCATACAACCAACTTTGAACTGTCTAGATTCTAGATTGAATCTAGTGTTAAGAATATTGTGTATACATGGATTGTTTTTATGTCTAAACAGTGGTGTGAGGCTAACACTTGGCCATCTAGTGGTTTAGTCAGGTATTTTTCACCATCCAACTTCAAATTAAAGTTTCCTACGACTTGGATTATTATTGACAGCACAGAATATCCCGTGATAAAACCTAAAGCTCCTAGAGCTCAGGCAACCTTTTCATCAAATAAAAACAGAAACACTGAAAATTCTTGAATGTTCGACACCTGGTGGTTTAGTCAACTATGTCTCTATGTCACATAGAGCGAATTATTGGACTTGGCAAAACATACAAAATTCTAATAAATCCTATGAATGGAACTGAAACAAAACTTTCATCTGAAATAACATTTAGTTGTTTTATGTTGTGTAATTTTAGAACTTGTATTGTGCCAAAGGATGCATAAATAAAAGTGACGCAATGAATTTTGTTCTGATATATATATATTTACAATTGCATGCACATGTAAATTGTAATGCATATAAAAATAAGGAGATGTGGTATGATATTCAGTGAGTTTATCAAACTAAAGTGCATAAGAAATGGGTTTAAGCAGTTACAGGTGTAACTGTCACCGTACAATCTCCAACAATGAGAAAAACTCATACCCTGTAAAAAATTTCAGAGATCTTACAACTAAGTTTTGTTGTCTCACCTTGACTTTGGTGAATTTTTTATATCTGTTGATGTTAATATAAAAAAGAAGATGTGGTATGATTGCCAATGAGACAACTCTCCACACATGCACAAGAGACCAAATGACACAGAAATTAACAGCTATAGGTCACAGTACGGCCTTCAACAATGAACAAAGCCCATACCGCACAGTCAGCTATAAAAGGCCCAGAAATGACAATGTAAAACAATTCAAACAAGAAAACTAACGGCCTATTTTATGTAAAAAAATGAACAAATATAACAAATATGCAACACATAAACAAACGACAACCACTGAATTACACTTTTATAGGCTCCTGACTTGGGACAGGCACATACATGTACATACAGAATGTGGCTGGCTTAAACATGTTAGCGGGATCCCAACCCTCCCCCTAACCTGGGACAGTGGTGTAACAGTACAATATAAGAAAGAACTATAAAAATCAGTTGAAAGAGGCTAAACTCATCAGATGGATAAATACAAATACAAGTGGACGTGGTCGGGTAGTTGAACATCCAAACAACAAAAAGACACTAAGTACAAATCTGAGAGTACTCGCAGTTACTGACAGCTAGTTCAAAGCCACTAACAACTGATAAAAAATCTTGCATCTAAGACTAAATTATCAATCCGTAAGCTCCCTTTAGAATTTTATAAATTTTAGATTTTACATTTCTGAGTTATGGGGTTTTATTCATTAAAAAAGGGGGGATTTTCCAGTTTTTGGACAACAACTCAAAAATGCTTTAAGCAGTTCACATGAAACTTTGGTGAATTATTTATAGCTATTGATGTAATCTCCCTATTGATTTTCATAAATTTCAAATATGACATTGAGAAGAAATTGAACTTTATTTGTTTATAGTCTGGCAACAGATTTATTAAGTATTGCACAACAGCACAGTGTATTGCACAACATCAAGAAATCTTTAATTGAATATAAATTCAATTCATATAACCGATTTCAAGTTCATTGACTACATTTATTCAGAAACTATAATATGTCAAATATTTAATTACAATCCAAATTCAGACCTGTATCAAGCTTGAATATTGTGTCCATTTTTGCCCCAGCTGTTCAGGGTAGTACCTCTGCGGGTGTATACAGCTGCGCTCAGCGAATCAGTTTATTTCTTAATTAAGAACTCCTTTTTATACGACCGCAAAAAAATTTTTGTGGTCGTATATTGGTATGACGTTGGCGTCGTCGTCGTCGTCGTTCGGCATCGTCTTCCAAAGACACATTAGTTTTCGCACTCTAACTTTAGTTTAAGTGAATGGATCTCAATGAAATTTTAAAATAAGGTTCAATACCACAAAAGGAAAGTGGGGATTGATTTTGGGGGTTATGGTACCAACAGTTAAGGAATTAGGGGCCAAAAATAAGCATTTTTGTAACTTCCAGACATGTGTGTAAGTGTATGGATCTCTCTGACATTGTACCACAAGGTTCCATATCACAAAGGGAATGCTGCGATTGATTTTTGGGGGTAATTGCCTCCAAATTTTAGGAATTAGGGGCCAAAAAGGGGCAAAAAACAAGCATTTTTCTAGTTTCATGACAATAACTTGTGTGCAAGTCTATGGATCTCTCTGACATTGTATCACAAGGTTCCATATCACAAAGGGAATGCTGGGATTGAATTTGGGGGTAATTGCCTCAAAATTTTAGGAATTAGGGGCCAAAAAGGGGCAAAAAACAAGCATTTTTCTAGTTTCATGGCAATAACTTGTGTGTAAGTGAATGGATCTTTATGAAATTGTACTACAAGGTTACAAATCACAAAGGGAAAGCTGGAATTGAGTTTGGGGGTAATTGCCCAAAAAGTTTAGGAATAAGGGGCCAAAAATAAGCATTTTTCTAGTTTCCAGACAATAACTTGTGTTCAAGTGTATGGATCTCTCTGAAATTGTACTGCAAGGTACCATACCACAAAGGGAATGCTGGGATTGATTTTGGGGGTAATTGCCTCCAAATTTTAGGAATTAGGGGCCAAAAAGGGGCAAAAAACAAGCATTTTTCTAGTTTCATGACAATAACTTGTGTGTAAGTCTATGGATCTCTCTGACATTGTATCGCATGGTTCCATATCACAAAGGGAATGCTGGGATTGATTTTGGGGGTAATTGCCTCCAAATTTTAGGAATTAGGGGCCAAAAAGGGGCAAAAAACAAGCATTTTTCTAGTTTCATGGCAATACCTTGTGTGTAAGTGTATGGATCTTTATGAAATTGTACTACAAGGTTCCATATCACAAAGGGAAAGCTGGGTTTGAGTTTGGGGGTAATTGCCCTAAAAGTTAAGGAATTTGGGACCAAAAAGGGGCCAAAAAACAAGCATTTTTCTAGTTTCCAGACAATAACATGTGTTCAAGTGTATGGATCTCTCTGAAATTGTCCTGCAAGGTACCATACCACAAAGGGAAGGCTGGGATTGAGTTTTGGGGTGATGAATCATAAGGGGGTTCAAATAATTTTTTGGGGGGGGGATTCTTTTTCCTTTTTTTTCTTTAAAATTTTCCATTTTAAATTGGTTATTTCTGATTTATATATAAAAGCAAATAATAATGATATGGTTTGAATAGGTAAATTAAATTTTTTTAAGTATCTTAGACCACTTTCATTCTGTGTCAGAAACCTATGCTGTGTCAAATATTTAATTACAATCCAAATTCAGTGCTGAATCAAGCTTGAATGTTGTGTTCATACTTGCCCCAACTGTTCAGGGTTCGACCTCTGCGGTCGTATCAAGCTGCGCCCCAGCGGAGCATTTTATTTCATTCATAAATTACTTTATGCTTGGAAATATAATTTTGCTTGGAGTTGAAAGAGTTGACATGTTGCAATGTACATTTACTCTACATAGTTCTATGGTACCAAATCAAAAGTTTATATAAAGAAAGAAGTCAAAGGTTTCCCATCATAGTTTAGTTACATACATTTTTTTTGTACCTGAGGTCGTTGAATATAGATCATTATATAAATAAGGAGATGTGTTATGATTGCCAATGAAAAAACTAAGGATTTTCTTATCCAAGGAATAGATTACCTTAGCCGTATTTGGCACAACTTTTTGGAATTTTGGGTCCTCAATGCTCTTCAACTTTGTACTTGTTTGGCTTTGTTACTATTTTGATCTGAACGTCACTGATGAGTCTTATGTAGACGAAACACACGTCTGGCATATTAAATTATAATCCTGGTACCTTTGATAACTAATTTGACTATAAACATAGATAAAAAAGGTACAAACTGGACATAATGCACTAGTTCATAAACAAGTGAGAACAATCGGCTTCATATAGTGCTCAGAATATGACATTCATAAAACTTATTCAATATCATTAGAGAACTCTAAATCTTAAATACTGAAAGCCACCTCTGATAAGTACACTGTACTATGCAAGATAATGATATAACTGGACTTAAAATACACACAACCTGTAATTAACTGCCTTTACAGCGCTTTCGTGCTTTGATTCACTAGATGTTTCAGGTTTTTGTATGCTGTTCTAATTTTTCCGTTATCTCCTGTGTTTTTTTTTATTTTATTGTACAATTGGGGGGGGGGGGGGGGGGGGGGTAGGAGGGTCCTGATCCCGAAATCCTGGGCTTACAAACATGGAATCCCGAGGTCCCGAATTTAAAAAAAATTAAATCCCGACATCCCGAAATTCGAAAAAAGAATTCCCGAAATCCCGAGCTTAAAAACACCCGATCCCGGAGTCCCGATAAAGGTTCTACCCCCCCCCCCCCCCTCCTACAGTCTGTCCCTTTTCCTCATCATCCTACGCAGTTCTATCGTTATCCAGGGGTATCTATGTTGATATCTAATTGTTCTCTATGGTATGTGTTTGTTAGTAAGTTTATGTATTTCATCTTTAAATCCCTCCCACATTATGTTTATATCTGTACTATTTTGATGGTTTATAATAAAGTCGTTTCCAGGATTCTTTGCTTCAGCTTTCATGGTCTCAAAATCTGCTTTCTTATATTGGTACACTTTTGTTAGTGTCTGATTTTCTTTAACCGGTGTCGTTGTTGCTTCTGCATAAACAATATCATGATCAGAAATCCCTGGGCAGACTTCAGCTCTGTATATTGTTGAAGGTTTGTTTGTAAGAAAGAGGTCCAATGTGTTGTTTCCTCTAGTCGGTCGATTTACTAGTTGTACCAGGCCTCTGCTGTCTGTTATGCGGTCTATAAAGTCTTGATGGATTTCTATGCTTTTACCATTTTCTTTGACTTGAGCGTTTGATAGGTCTTTCCACTCTATGTCTGGTAGGTTAAAATCCCCACCATACTGTCTGGGTTTCAACACTAGTTGCTTTCTCTATGTTCTTCCTTATTTCATTCATTGATATATAAAAAAGAAGATGTGGTATGATTGCCAATGAGACAACTCTCCACAAGAGACCAAATGACACAGAAATTAACCACTATAGGTCACTGTTCGGCCTTCAACAATGAGCAAAGCCCATACCGCACGGTCAGCTATAAAAAGTCCCGAAATGACAATGTAAAACAATTCAAAGGAAAAAACCAACGGCCTAATTTATGTACAAAAAATAAACGAAAAACAAATATGTAACACATAAACATTGAGTCTATGTCTGTTGTATGTGGATGGTATATAGAACCTAAAAGAGTTTATTACCTGAGGGCAATGTCATATTGCCGATACTGTCTCAGCAATACTCTTAAGCTCTACTGCTTCTTCACTTACTAATGCATTTTTGATGGCTACAAACCCTCTGTCATGTTTATCTGATTGTCTATCCTTCCTGTATACATTCCCTTTGAATTCATCCGGGAATATACCTTCATTTTTAATTGATGGGTCAAGCCATAATTCAGTACCTATTATTATATGCGACTGTATTTTTCCTATAGCTGTTTGGAAGATGTCCTTTCGCCTTCTCAATGATTGACAGTTGATTATCATAATTCTATTTTTCTCTGTATCTGATGGTAGTGGTCTTCTTTTGTGTTTAGATGCTTTCTTAGTAATTATTGATTTTGGTGAAGATGTCATCTGTGGCGAACTGGGGTTACTATAGTTCAATGACTCATTACTTTAATCTAATGTTTTATATGTGTTTAAGCTTTCAGGTATTAACATTGATTCAAATGAGCTAGTGGCAAAACTTGGTAGTCCACAATTGGTGCAATACCAGGAGCAATCTGAACCAATGAAGCAATTATAAATATCGTCGCTAATATTTTCACAGTTAATATGGAACAATGTGTCACACTTATCACACACGACAGCTTAGTCTATAGAATACAATGCCATACAATACCAATACCAATACCATACAATACCAATACCAATACCAATACCAATACCAATACCTTTTTTACCAATACATTTTTACCAATACCAATACCAAAACCAATACCAATACCAATACCAATACCTATACCAATACCAATACCAATATCAATACCAATACCAATACCAATACCAATACCTATACCAATACCAATACCAATACCTTTTTTACCAATACATTTTTACCAATACCAATACCAATACCAATATCAATACCAATACCAATACCAATACCATACAATACCAGTACCAATACTAATACCAATAACTATTACAATACCAATACCAATACCAATACCAATACCAATACCTATACCAATACCAATACCAATACCTTTTTTACCAATACCAATACCAATACCAATACCAATAACTATTACAATACCAATGATACCATTATCAATACCATTACCAAAACTAATACTGACTTTAGTTTGTTTTTTAAACAAATCTTCAATAGAAAAATTCTATACCCTCATCCAATTCTGGAAAAAATTGAAATATGTTCAAGAAATTTACATTTGTACAATTCATCAAAAAACTTTTCCCCACCTGGGACTTCTATACATTTATCTATTAGGTGCATTAATATATATGTTCATGTTGTAATAGACTTTCGTTTATTTATATTTTTTGTTTGTTTACTTTAAGTTCTAACAAGGAAACTGTAATAGTCGGGCTGACGGACAAACTAGTCTTTTAGCGACTGGTCCCAAAAAAGTCAACTGTTCTGTTCATTCTGATCCTCCGTTTTATATAGGAGCACTCCCACTTTCTCATCTGAAATCCGTATAATGTTTCATGTCCGTTCCGTCATCTTTCAAGTTGCCAGGTTACGATGTCAACCAAGATGGCGGCGAAAACGAACAGGTACTTCATTTCATTTAAAGATTTCATTCCATTAATGACTCTATATAAAAGAAAATTACATATTAACCTGTATACTTACCTATATAGTTTGATATAGCATTTCATTGTTTCATTCTGAGTCAATGACAAGATTTATTACATTTATGTCGAGCGAGCTGTGACTCGTGGAGTGTGCATGTTTAAAATGCAATTATATCATAACAAACCGGGTGAGTGATTTTTTTTTTTTAATGAAAACTTTACAACATATAAGAAAACAGTAATGAATAACTAAATTTGACTATTGGTCTAATCAATAAATGTTAACCTTTTCCCGTTTGAATGGTTTTACACTAGTAATTTTTGGGGCCCTTTATACAGCTGTTATAGCTCGTGTTCGGTGTGAGCCAAGGCTCCGTGTTTAAGACGTACTTTGACCTATAACGGTTTACTTTTATAAATTTTGACTTGGATGGAGGGTTGTCTCATTGGCACTCATACCACATCTTCTTATATCTATATCTTGTATGTGCACAAGAAAATGCAAATGATTGCATGCTACAACTAGTATATATATTTGTTTAGGGGCCAGCTGAAGGATGCCTCCGGGTGCGGGAATTTCTCGCTGCATTGAAAACCTGTTGGTGACCTTCTGCTGTTGTCTGTTCTATGGTCGGGTTGTTGTCTCTTTGACACATTCCCCATTTCCATTCTCAATTTTACATGTAATAGTAATAGTAATAGATGACCTGAGACTACTATAACACTGTGTTATAGTAGTCTCAGAGATGACTGATATACAACTTCGCATTTAACCGATATATCATATTTATAAGGTTGCTTCCCATAATTTAGTTTTTCTAATATCCCTGCCTTTGTGGCATTCAGTAGACAGAACGCAAAAGATTACATGATTTGGACGTCAGACGAACAGAATAACCGGATAGCATCATCCTCAATCTTAAGGCCTTATGGACCACTTTACATCTGTGTGAATCCTTCAAGAATTGTGCATATTTGAACTAGAATGTCATATTTGGTTTATCCGCTGTTAATTAACAACACTTTAAAATATTGTAAAGATTTTGGTTGTCAATGAGGTGGTTCTGATCATATAAATTTTGTTTTGGTGTTTGGTCAATGAAATTGGAATCTGCCTCTAGTTTTGAAAGTGTTTCATCTAATTTGTCACCATCGTTACTTTCTATACATGTACATGTGCTTAAATTAAATTTCTAACCTTTTGAAAGACCTGTGTTTAACTCTTTGGCTGCAATGTTTTTAAAATGAATGTTGTGTCCTAAGCAGTATTTATCCTTTACATTATAGCAAAGAATTTCACACATCATACATGTATATGTCATTAGGACGCTATACCATTGTTTTTATCCTGCAATCAACCTTTTTACAATAAAAATACATGCACATGTATACAGAAAACATGAAGTGATACAGATAGTACACATATATTTATGTAACCTGCTTTTGTTGTGAGCAAATAGTTATGTTCAAATTACATCTCAGATCATTTTTGCAATTTGGGGTTCTCATAGCCATTCAGGTCTAAGTCATGTTGCTTTCATTAAAAAAACACAAATTTAACGGTTGGAAGTTAAAAATAATAGGTTTGAGCATGAATGATGCATTGCAGGATTAAAACAATATTTGTACATTGTAGGAAAATATGAAAAGTATTTGTACACACTAAGAAACAGGAGAAGAGCTCTCTACATTTCTATCCTAGCTCATTAAAATAAATTTTATATTTTGTACAATGTATGAATATTGTATATGAATTTAAAGGATACAAAAACATATCTCATTGAAGTCACAATTTATTTTCTAGAAGTTCAAGATTGTAATTATATCTTAGTTTGTTTAATATTATTAATTTGTTGTGAAGGTCTGCCAACAAGGGACATAGTTTTTTACATGTGTATGTCCCTAGCATGGTCAAAGGGTTTTAAAATTTTGAGATGTAAAAATACTCAACAAGAAAACAATAGCTAAGCTATTACTTTTACGTTTTTCTAAATTGCCAATGTAAAAATTCTTCAAAATTCAGAAAGTTCTTTCATTTTTTTGGTCTGAAGAAATCAAGAATGGTCAATTTTATACCAAAATCTTAACTGAAAATATTGATGTTGTAAAACTAAAGTTTGAATAAAACTACAAACTGTAGGTTCATCTGAAATCTATGATTTAACTCGTATAAAGGAAGGTTAGTTTGAAACATGTTTGGTATTACACCGACTGCTTCCAATTTACATCTATATGTTATGGATATTTTATGGTACTGCAAACAGTAAGTTCTTATTTACTGCAATTTTCATGTCCAGTAACCTTGTAGGTAAATTAAATGCTTATTTGCAGAAATATAAAATGCAGATTGTACTATAACATATATTCGTACATGTAGGTCTATCTTAACTTGCATGCCGGTTCCTTTATTTACCTATACCACAGGGATAGAAATTAATGCTCGCCCTGTCACCTAAGAAGACTAAAAATAAAACTGGACAATTACATGTAGTTTTGTTTTTCCAATTTTGACACCAGTAGATAATTTGAAAAGGGACAAAGCAGTACAAACTGTATTTTTGATATCTGAATTTTGAATTTATGGTTAGAGATACTTACAGGGATATGATATTGCCAAATGCCGATTCAGATTTTTCAATGACATAAATTTTAAGGCTTTAGTCTGCAGTTTGATACATGAGGGTCTAGATCTTGGACTAGATGGGTTTTCAGAAAAGAGAATCGTGTGCAAAACACACAGAATAATTGGCCAAAAAATAAAGAATAGAGAGTAATGAACCAAAATTATAAAGAATAGAAAATAATGGGCTGCTAAAATATAAAGATTAGATAACAATGGGCCAAAAAAAAGTATAGAAAAAATGGGATACAAATTAAAAGAATAAAGAAATGAAGACCCCCAAACCAGACCTTCATACATGTTATGTTGAAATCAAGAAACATTTTTATACAATTCAAAATACTACTACATGTAGATTACTTGGTTCAAAACCAAGGCCCATTTTCACAAGATTATTTCCAGATTTGTAGCTTATAAAGTCAATCGAATGGCTTGAAAAAATTTGGTTACCTACATGTACATTGTACTATCTTTTTATCCCTCTACTGACTGACTTGTTTGTTATTTAACAACCTGATTATTCAGATATCTTCAATACTATATCCCATTTTACTATTGATCCATTGTTAAGTATTTGTCAACATTCAAATTCATTTTATGATGAAAATAATATTTAACTTTTGTCAGTTTTATACTGTCTGTGTACATAGTAATTTTTTGACTTCTTATCTAATGTTCTGATAATAAAAGTTTGTATAAGATCATAAATGAAGGATTACATTGTCGATTTTAAATTTCAGATCTTGAAGTTTATTAGAACTTGTGAATTTAAAACAACTACTTCTGTTGTGTTTAAAATTTATCACATATGAATGATTTTCTTTAATATAACAACTAAAGTAAAACTTAAAACATTTTTGATTTAATTTCTTATAGATATGGCTGAGGGATAAGCCTGGGAAGTGATTAACCCATGGATTACAAGAATGGCAGCAAATGATGTGCTTTACAATGAAAAAGAAATATATTTCTTTCAACAAGAGGTGAAAAGGAAGATACCAAAACGTTGTCGTAAGGCTCCAGAGGAGTTACCAGAAGCTTTACGATTTGCACATCCAAATCCCAAAGTAGCTGCATACTTAGCTAGCAAGAACAGGGAAGCTTTAAAACAACAGGAACAAGATCCATTTGGCGATGGATTGGGAAAGAAAAGCTTGCTGCCAAATATTAACCAATCAGTCACAAACATTAAAAACCGATTAGATAGTGCCTTGTCAAATGACGAGGACTCACAAAAATATTTATTTGAAGACACTAAAAGTACATCATATTCTATTCTTCAGCAGCTAGCAAAATATTTGTATTCTTATGATGATATTGCAGATCATGTTCCAAAAAGTTTGGAATATCAGTTAATGTCAACATGGAAAGAACTTACTAATGATGTGATTTATGTACCACGGGAATGGCAGACGGTCGAAATTAAAGAACAGTATTTTAATTCACTGCGGGATACTCATAGTGATGATGAAGACGATGATGTCATTGGTGGTAGAACTTCAGTGTTAGATAAATCGTCAAGTCTAGGAAAACCAAAAGTGAAAAAAATATCAAACCGACCCCTTATACCAGAAATAATTGAAGATGATGGGAAAGGAGATAATAGAATGCCAAAAAGAAGTGATAGCAGAATGTCAACACAGTCAGTAGCAAGAAGTAAACTGGATATACGACCAGGCGGCAGAGTATCTAGGGATCATAGAGGTTCAAGTAGGTCACATTTATAAACCTGTTTCTCAAGATTCATTATTAATAGTTATTTTCAATTTTTCAAGACCCAGATAATACTAATATTATAAGGCATCATGTGTCAGTAAGTAATTTGAATGCTTCCCAACACATTCAAACTCTAAAGTTGCTGTTACAGTCTAGGCTCTCTGATATTGTTATTATTGATGTTATCCTGGGGACCTCACAGGTGGTCCTAGACATCTCATATACAATGTAATTGATATAAATGTGAATTCAAATTTAGACTTAACTTGGCACTAGACTTTATTTTTAAATTGTGCTCTATGCTAATGCTCTTTGGTCGGGTTGTTGTCTCTTTGACATATTCCCCATTTCCATTCTCAATTTTAATGCAAAAAAAAAAAAAAAAAAAATAGGTCACAGTTCATTTCAAAGAATGTATCATACCTTCCAACAATGAATGGTCTTAAGTTTACATGAAAAAGTTAATTAATATATAGACATGTTATAAAATTGTCTATTTTAGGGTAAATGATATGTACCTCATCATGAATTCTTTTTTCCATAGATTTACTAACAAAATGCATGGATTTTATATATATATAGATTATATCCTACAGATAGTATTTAAGTGATATAACTTTATTAAAATAAGTTCCATTTAACCTATTTGTATTAGTTTAGAACATTGATTAGTATATTATTAATTTCTTGTGTAGTTTTTGGACTCTTTTTTATAAAACTGATATTGACTCTAACAGAATCAAACAAACTTGTTTCCTGGACATAAGTGAAGAGTCATTACAAGCAAACACTTAAAACTGGTACAATATCTTGTGTTGAATTGGTTGTTCCGATAATGTGTTATCGCTATGTAAATCACACACAATCCATACATGTTAAATGAATTTATTTGCCAAACTACTTCAGATATCCTATACTCATAAGAGTTGTTAAGTATTAAATGGAAAAATCAATAATTAAACCTCAATTGTAAACAGAAAAGTTTTCTAATGCTTTAATGGGTATTCTTTTGTTCCCTTCTCCATGCATTGTGAAAGGATAACACATTATTAGGTATAATTTAAAACGGAAATCATTTAAAATGCAAAATCTTTCCTGTTAGGCATATTAATTATTAATTGCTAATTTATTATTTCTTCCAGTAGTAATTAACAAATGCTTTGATCTGAAAATATAAATGCAATTTAAACTATATGTTAAAAGGTTCATGTATACTTTAAAATGCATTTAAATAGTTTATGGTGTTTAATCACTTAATGCAGTTAGGAACTTTTAACTTAAACTGATTTTGAATATGCAATTAAATCATTAAATCTTACTAGTCAATTCCAGAGAAGCTTAACATACTTATTTTTTCTAATAACCTGTAATGAAAGTGTCTGTTTATACCTAGAACCTGGGACAATTATACTAACATTAGTATAATAGTCCCAGCTAGAACTTAACAGGTTGAGACCAATCACCCGGATGGGTTTTATAATAACCTAATTGGTGTTTAATGAGTGTAGGTCAATAGTAGCAAATTTTGATAAGCAACTTTTCCAGAAAATTAATAAGTTGCAAGATTGATCATCTGAAATACAGTGTCTTCCAAGGGATCAAACTTATAAACAACCAGGTATTCAGAAAAGTTACAGACCAGAAGCTGTTGCTTTTTATGTAATCATTTGCACTTTGTAATTATTCTCCCTTGAATAATAAAACATTTTGCAAGTGTGGCCAAACTTTAAATTAGATATAAATATAAGAAATGGCATGCCCTGCCACACAGGCATCTACATTTGTAACTATGTGCCATGATATTTTGAATTACATGTAGTTGCATGTTTCGTTGGATGATTTGAACTAGTTGAATGTTGCTCGTTTTCAAAGTAGCATGATAAATTCAAAATTAACTTTATTTTTCATGTCTTATTCCACTTAGATACTGATTTGTATCCTTAGATTTAATTTTATACAACTAAAAAATATTTTTTTTAATATAGAACATTGAATATCAGAAAATCAGAAGTTTAACTGTAATAAAGTCTGACTAATGTTTTTTATATCGTTAATTTGATGTTAGGATCAATAGTAAATTCAATAAAAACAATAAATCAATGTTTGTCGTGTTAACAAGTTAGGAACTGTCGTGACGTTAGGCCTCCCGCCACAAGTTTTACACTTCATCAAGAAATGAACAAGTCTTGAGACCCTGCATATTTAATTGCCTGAATGAATAAATAGTTTAGTACAATATCATATTGATCTTGATCTTTAAATTTGATGTAATTAGGAGTAAATGACACGCTATAAAATATATAATAGATGGTCTGTTACTTGTTTCTGTAATACAGTGAACAAAGATTTCATAATTTGATATACAAGTTAAATGAACTAATTTGATTATGTTTCTGTTAAATTTGAAATGTTTGGTTATATAATTTTGATGATAAGACCTTTAATAAGCTGTAAACTTTCAGATATCTTTTCTGAATATATTGTCAGTAAAAAGGATTAAGACTAAAATCTTTACATAATAAAGTAACATACCATGAGATCATGTAAGACTTGTGATTATCACACATATTGAACAGATAGGGTATCTTATTTAAAATTTATTTGGAATTAGCTGTGATTAGATGATAAAATATAGTATGAAATACCGTAAAAGGACTGTCAACACCACTGGTCAGGAAAGTTAATAAAAAGTCTTTATATTTAATATTCAAGTGTCAAATCTTAATGAAAACTAATTGCCAGTTCTAATTATAAAAAAACTTTCAAATTTCTATAGTCCAGAAATGTCTTACAGGTCTACATTGCAAGTAAAGGACTCTTTTTATGCTCCAGCCGCACTGGAGGGGACATTAAGTGTGACGGTTACCCTTGTACGTCTGTATGTTCCAAAATTAGTTTAATTTTCAGTTCTCTAACTTTAGTTTGCCTCAACCAAATGTTATGAAGCTTATACACAATGCTTATTACCACAAAACACAGATCAAGTTTGAATTTGGGTTGCATATGATCACTTTAACCATTCTTGAGTTATGTCCCTTTATAATGTTTATTTAAATTTTAATCCTGGTACCTTTGATAACTATTGTGTCCTATGGTCACATTCTCCATTTATTTTTTTAAAAGATTCTTAACACATAATTTTTTTCTTTCTTCACTGACATGTATATTCATGTAGCATGGGAATATTACATTATCTATATGTCCTAAATGTAGCATATATATATATATGATAAAAGTGGTATGGTTGTTCATGCTTAGTTTTGTATCATTTCTATAACACCAGCTATGAAAGTGGTATGAATCAAACCGTGTAAGCTGCACCAGGTACTGCACCATTGTTTTCTTTACCGGGTAATCTGATTATGATTATCAATAACTTTAAATGATAAATTAACAATTATGTTGTCAAGAGAATTAGAATGATTGTATAGTTGAAAGAAAATTGACTTTATATTTTATTTAGGATTATCTCCTAACCAGCCGATATATCTTTTATTTAGGATTATCTCCTAACCAGCCGATATATAAGCCTAGAAAGGGTAATCAATTAACAAATCTGCATTTACTCTATATCATTGCACTGCAGATGGCATGTGTCCTGCACTAAATCATGAAATTATTAGTTGATCATGATTTCAATGAAAACGTTCAAGTCAAATTTTAAATGCATGGTAACTAGGTTTGCTTTAACATTTTTGTAGGGCTGGGTACACTTGATATTTTTATTTTATTAATGCATTAGGCATTAGAGGTAAAATATTTTTTTAGTCAAATTAAATGCAAACAATGGATGAGGGAAGCATGACTGCATATTTACAGATTAAAATAATATAATCAAAATTCATTTTGCATTGTGTATAGCAATATCAAAATGCTTTGTGTGTTTTCCAATCAGAAAGTACATAAAGTTGCTGGAAGATTTGTTGGATATTCAGTACAACTACATGTCAGAAAAAAAAATCACAGGAAAATTATGCCAATATTTTTTTATCTCATTATTTAATCCAAGAAGATTTTTGCTTGTTCACCTGCTCTTAAACACAAAATAAAATCATCTCTTTAGTCCTTTATTTAGGATAAGTTGTCTGTAAATTTTTCAGTCTGTCTGAGGGTGTGGTGTACGTAGAAGTCTATATTTTATTTTACATACATGTAATTATAGATTCTTTTAGTTCTTTGTGTATTTAGGTTTGAGTATGCCCCACATCTCCTTTTATTTATGAGTACTTCTTTTATTTTGTAATTGACTTTGTGATTTCCTGAAAGTGTGTTGGTCCTATGAATAGAAGATCATTAGTTTGATCCTAGACTGGTGAAACAAGAGACCATTCATATAGTATTTACTGTTAATATGTTTAAGCATATAGCTATTAAGAGTAAGAGCAAATACCATTGTGCTTGTACTCAGAATGATGTGTTCAAACAGGAAGGACTGAACCTGATGAGCTAGAATGTGAATTTGACTCAGAAATCAGAATATTGCATTATTGGTCTAGTATAAAGCAAAGTATAGTCTTATAACTCCAACATTTCATCATCCTGAATAAGCATTCAAAATGTGACTTTGAAAGTCACTTGATGTTATATAGCAATCAACTAATCAATCTGTTATTATACATTGATTTTTGTGTCACTTCTAGATAAATTGCCAGGTAATAAAAACAATATTTTGTTCCAACAACATAACAAAATTTGAATGCATGAAGTGAATTTAACATCATCTACGTACCCATATCATTGTCAACGAAGTATACTATAAAGACTTAAAATAAACTTAAGATACTCAGACTGCATGGTCATCTAGTGTAATAGTTGTAGTTCATATCTTAAAATCATATCGTAGTAGATTTTCAACAAATTTCATTATGAGAAATTAAAAAAAAATGTTAGTCTAGGTAATTAAATAAGCAAAATTACCGTTACACAAAAAATTCTATTTTCATATTAATTTATATAATGTGCTTATATTTTTTATTGTAATTTATTTATAGATACACAAGTAGTACTACATATTACTAGTAATGATGATGATATATAGTTCATATTTATAAACCTATGATACATTTTGTAAATTAGCTTGTTTTATATTACTTATTAGAACTTTAAATGCATGAGTAGCCATTGAATTGTCAATTAATGCATATTTCTTTCTCATATGTCTCTTTTTTAAAGAACAAAAATTAACAGTGTTTGGTAACTCTTAAGTAAATTAATATTAAATTTATGGCTCACATCTTCATTTGTAAGGATTCAAAATATGTTATTTCTTTTGGTTGAAGTCTGCAGTTGCTTGCACTGGTCCAGCAAAACATCTGAAAAATAAAAATACCCCAAAAACATTGTCATGCACATAACATTGAAATACAAACAAGGGTTAACATTGCAAAGATTTTTTAATGAATTTTCTGATAAAAGTAAAAAGATTTTATAAGTTTTGAAGTTATCTGCGCTTCGACTTATTTGTTCTGTCAAAAAATATCTATGAGAATTAGGCATTAATTGATTTAGTTTTGAAAGCTGTATATCTATGAAGTATCATGAATTTTTATAATTTTCGTGGATCATTTATGTCATTGCTGGAGTTTTAGGTCCTAATTTCATGCTATTATTTTCATGCTTGTTTCAGTTGCTTGGAGTTAGCACATTTCATTTAATTTGCAAAAAGTTTGAATTTAATAATGGTTTCATTGGCTGTTTTTTGTAATATTTTAAATTAACTTGCTGCCTTTTTAAAAAAAAAAAGGTGAACTATCCACGAAACTAGAACAATTCATTTTACCACTTTGCATGTTTATTTGAATATAATGCTTATAATAATTAGAATTTTTTTCTCATCCTCTACACTTACAGTCGCAGGATTACGCTCACCAAATATCAGAAAGGGATTGCATGACGATGCTTTTTCCAATATTGCAGAAACGCCATCTGATCCAAGATGTGAGTTGTCAAAATGTTTTAATTATGATTCACAAAAAAGATAAAATTGATATCTTTCTTACTTAATGAGTTTTAGCCATTGGATAGGTAATGATAAGTTTACTTCTATTATACCCATATATATTATCCATCAACTTAATTATTCCTCTAATCAGATTGATCTTTTAGTACTAACAACCAACTAACAACCATCTAACATTTAACAAATAGTTGTGCTGGTATAAAAAACCTTGTATATGAAATATCTAATTTAATTTCAGATCAGGTAACACCTTTCTCCATTTTTCTGATACATGTACATATATTACGTCATAACTGCAGCTGTCTTTTGACTCCAACTAATTCACTATATCATTTACTTGGATGATGCTGTAAATTTTAATCTTAATATGTTTATTTAATACCACTTTGCACAGTGGTGAGTATTACATTGAGGGCAAAGATTGACCTCTGTAATGATCACTGTATTATATCCCCTATTATCTAAACACTTCCTCTGGCAAAAGTAATATGATGCACTTGATCTACTTTTGGCAAAAGTTAATCAGTCACTTTATGGTTGGGGGTTTAACCTAGGTATACTAATTCTCTCTACTACCATCAAATTGAAAATCCTTCACAGTTGTAAAAAATCTCCTTTTATGGCTTGATATATTGACTTGATTTGCAGTTTGACAAACCTACATGAGGCAACATAAAAGGATAAGAAAAATAATTAAAATAAGATATCAACACATATTGCTGTTTTTCATCTAAATGAAGTGCTTTAATTTACATCTGTTTGTCATATTATACCAGTTCAATTAATAAAAGTGATTTCTTTTGAAAACATTTATAACTGCTGCTGTATTCTATTATAGCCCTGTTACCCTGCCATATACATGTATAACTATTCCTACAAATCATTTTAATTGGACATTCATACACAAATCCTTAAAAGTACAACCAATAACAGTAATGAAAACTGTCAAAATAAGTACAAACATTTTCAATCACTATGATATGGAAGTAATGAGATGCATAGAATTGTATTGTAAGTCTTAAAAAATTCATGCATACTCATCGATTGTGACACAAAATTCTATTCTAATACTTTTCATTATTTTTCAGCAACGGCTTTAGTTACAATAAGTTTTTCATTAAAAGACAAAAAAGGTTTGTGTAACTTATTAGATAGAATATTGTTTTATATATCAAGTTATGATAACTTCTATATGTATAGAAACAGTGTGATCCATACTTTCATCACAAACAAACAACAAAAGATTTAATATTTGATCAATATATTGGTATATTTCAATTTAACTATATTGATTAAGATATAAGTGTTGAAAAATGTTTTGAAAATCTTTTTTAGATGTAATACCACCAATACATGGTACGTCACATCCGGTTTCATACGAAAAAGGGACGAAATAAAATATTCCCCTTGAATTTGACATTTCTGAGTCATAAACATATACCTTGGGGGATTCAAATCATCTTTCTTTTTTTTATTTGGTGTTTCTTGAAACTTGAGGTGACATGGTTTATAAAGCTTGTAAACAGGAAAAAAAGGGGCGACATTTTGATGGGTTAACTTCCAGTGATGGTTATTATCTCATATGCAATTAAATGTATGTAAAATTTTGACTGTAGTACTGGACAGGATAATACTTGACTCATGCCATGTAGTTCTTTATTTGATACAAAGATAAATTCTGCACTATTTTTTAAAAATGCCAAATTAACAAAGACTAATAGGGAAAAAACAATGGTGGTATTACACCTTTAAGAAATTTTATTCATCTCGGGTATGTGGATTTATCTTCCATTTTATGGCTATTACAATATCTTATGAAATGAAAATTTAAAGTCTTTTTTTTTTTGTTTATTTCAAGAAAACAAATAATTAAGAAGAAAATGTGTTCACTCTACTAATGTTCTTTTTAGGTGTAATAATGGACAACAACGTAGAAGAAGTAGACAGGAAGAAATTGCAAGAAGAATATGAAGCTTTTAAAGAACTTATTAAGACAGTGTATGTATTTCAATTTTAATTATTTTTATTTAAAGTAGTACTAGGCTATAATGAAATTATAGACCATAGTAGTATTGGGCTATAACCTAAAAAATGATAGATTATTATACATTTTGAAATACATGTAATGTAATTTACCTCCAGTCATTTCCAAAAATCTCCCAAATTTGATAAAAGAGTAAATATATGACACCAAACTTTGTTTTCAACAGGGGTTTCATTATCTTTCATGTTGACTGGTACACTCCTATTTGTAGGTGGAACATTTCAATATATTCAATGAACATTTTATATAAAAATTCCTTAATTCAGGCGGTACTTATCAGTAGCATAGGAGAGTAAAAGTGCCGGGTACTGCCTCCTAATGAATGGCCTGTTCAATCTGAAGATCTAATTACTAAATGTTCATAATTTTGAGGTAAAAGTAATTCACTGAGCCATTTTTAATATATATGATGGATAGGATTCTTTTTGTCATATCGATTTATGTTAAGTGTTGCTATGTTTATTTGCATTTTATAGTATTTATATATTATTTATTTATCTCAAGTATGGTGCTTTGCCAAATTTAACATTTACATGCATTTGTTTCCTATCATTAAACTGTCCTGAAGACGCCACCATAAGTGGCGAAATATGTAGACCAGAATAAAGCATTTCCTTGCAGTAATCCAGGATGTTGTTGTCTTTTTATAGTTTTATTTTCCTGAGGTTTTCAGACAACGGCAGCATACTTCGGTATCCATCCTGATTATTCTACCAGCTTTACCGTTCAAAGGTGTTGGTTCACTCGATGTATATTTACATGCAGAATAAGAATTTATTTAATTTATCATTCAAGACTAATCACCTGATTAATCAAAAATAAATGATCTTTTGTTTTATATTTACTTTTTTTTCTTTTCAGAAAACAACAGCAACAAGATGATCTTGATGAAGGAAAAGATAAGCCAGTTGTTGTTCGTTACTATGGAGACCACAAAAAAGAAGTCCTGCTGAAATACAGAAAGTCACCTGTAAAAACAGATAGTCCAGTTTTAGGAAAGTCCGGCAAAATCCGGATACCAATCATTGGAGATGATAGAAATGAAGGGAAACAACTCATACAAGCCACAGTTCATGACGGAACAAGCTTTGTGTAGTATCCTTTGTTAATTAAGTCATAGAATATTTGTAATGACTTGAATACAAGGTGTTACATCAATAATGTAATTACAATAATTTCATAATTTATATGTACTTGGTAAATATATAATTTGTCTTAAATGAAACTTTTTTCTCAATTTATTAAAAACAGTAAATTATCCTTAACTATTTGAAGTTATCCCTCTGGAAAGCCAGCTATAATGTTTAGTTCTGCAGGATATGGTCGGCCAGGATATTACTTGGTAGCGTATGATGATGGCAACAATCCCAGAATGCTTGCTTGTTTTACTCCCTGTGGCAAGGGTGTATGTTTTAGCAATACTGGCAAAAATATCAGGTAAATATGTTGTAAGTTATGAGTTGATGCATGTGAAGTCATCACAAGTTTGATACATAAATTTTTTCCCTGAAGTCCACAGGTGTTTTGGTGAGTTTTTGATAGCCATTAGAATGAAATAACTAATTAGTTTTGAATACGTTTGACGACACCACTTTGGTTGTGACTTGATGAAGGTGCAATTGAAACTAAAAATTATAAAGATTATCAAACTGACAGGATAAGGGATATGTCCCCAGAAACAAAAATTTCAAAGGAAATCAAAACACTGAATAAAAAAATCAATGACCCCTAAAAACTGGAGCAAAGACTGAAAACTGCCGTCAAATCTAAAAGCCTCATCAAGTGTATCAGACTCAATTTATTGATTGCATGACTTACATCTTGTCAAGTTACAAACATGAATTTACTACTTTTGATATTATAATTAGCATTCTAACATGACGGTCTTCAAACGCTTTGAGTACACACCCGTGGTAAAATATGAATATATTGTTTGGGCTGTTCCAATCGTACTCCCGCGTCATATGTTTTTTATGAATGAGCTACCCGACGTCATAGAACGATGACGTAAGAATATAAGCATTTTACGGGAAAATACACGATTGTGAAACCGAAAATCATCACAACAAGCAAATGTAAACAAACGATGCAAAAATGTGCTATATAAGCCATTTTTTGTATACATATAAGACATATAAGTACAATTATCATTTAGATTCATCCAAACCTATCTAAATATGTTATTGTAAATAGTTTAAGCATGCCATTTATTCAGTTTGCTCCGGTCTTTTACGTCAATTTAATAGTGCGTTTATTTATGGGAACGGCAAATAATGCCTTCATCTAGAGCGCTTCGATCCAAAACAATTGCCGTATTTGTCCTATTAGAATCGAAATAATTCATGGGGCTTGAATATATCGTGATTTTACCATGGGTTGTCCCTTTATGCCGATATTTTACCCCTCGCTATCACTCAGGGTAAAATATTTGTCATAAAGGGCCAACCCGTGGTAAAATCACGATATATTCAAGCCCCCATGAATTATATCTTAATTAAAATATGTGCTTTAACCTAAGATTAATACCAAGCATATTTGTTTAAACACATCTCTTATTTTATCTTAGAATAACTACAAAATAAAAAAAATGAAAATAAGAATCTGTGGCATCATAACTGATGAGACAATTATCCACATTTTTATCAACACAGAAATAACTTTAACAACTCTACTTTTAATTTTAGGTTTCTGTCTACAGCAAAGGGAGGTCATTTAACAGACACTGATGGTAGTGTAATACAGAAATGGAAATGGCCGATGAGCAATGTTAAACTGGGGAATCCTGTCATGTTACAGGTATGTAAAACTGGGGACTCCTGTTGTATTACAGGTATAAATCATTTCTTCTTGTGAACTTAACATGACCTTGGCAAAAAAAAGTTTGCACAAAGAAAGTTTTTTTAACACATATGTAATATTTTATATTTTAAAAAAGCTTATATTTCACAATATCTTATATTTCACAAAATGAAAGTAGAAATTAACTTCAACACAGAACACAACTAAGTCATTGTGGTTGATTTACAACAGTTTGTACTCCTCCAATAAAGCCATCTATTGAATCAATACAGATATTACTAAACATATCCTTTAAGAAAAGTTTTTGTCAATATTAATAACTATCCTGCTTTCTTGAAATGAATTATCTGAAATTGATGATAATAAAAAAGGATGTAATTCAGAGTTTTATCTTGATATTTATGATACTGAGCAAAAATTTTACATTACAGAAGGTCAACTGTGTTCTTTTTTTCATTTGACAGAAATCTGTATGCTGTATACCTTTCAGCTATAAACAATTAGTATTTTTTTAGCTCAATAACCACCTAGTGTTCAGATGTTATAGTCAGACCAGTATGGCCATCGTGTTCAGCTGTCAGAAAGAAACAGCAAAGTTTCCTATCTTACCTTATACCGGAGCTGTGGAGAAGGAAGACAATGTAAATATATTGGTTAGATAGTCATACTTAGTCATGTATACAGGTTTCTAAAAGGGGATAGTGACTTTCCAATATTTGTTTATCCAGTTTTCCAAAAGCATACTTTAACATTGCAATGAAAATGACAGCAGCTATGTTTCTTCCCGTTCTCAGAAACTCCTTGATCACTCTGCCAAGAAAAAGCTGCAGAAAATGTTTCTTACAGCTTTAAGAAAGTCCATGATGATTTGATATGATTAAGAAAAATATTTGAAAAACTTTTTATCATAGTCAAGCATTTGTTGTTACTGAAAAGATGAATATGTATTTTGTAAAATATCATGAAAACAATAAAATAATTTTCACAGCTATTAATGACTTCCCTGGTTAATAGTGTAGTTGGAATAATCCATAAGTATTTTATTTTATTTATTTTTTTTACATTTCTATATTGGCAATTTCCTAAAATAAAATTTTGATCAATTTGCAATTTGTTTTTTTTTTAGGAACAGTTACTTACAGGACTTAACTTTACTTCAAGAGCAGCCAAAGAACTTATGAGAATTTTTGCACCTAAAACCAAAACAAAGAACAGAGGAAAACAGAAAAAGGTAACATTGCAATTGAATTTGAAATTCAGATCAGATTTGTATGAAGTTGCATTACTATCGGTACATATCAGTTTGACGACTATTTTGAAGCCCTGCCCACAGGCCATGGTCCAATGACTGAATAAATTAGCAATTTTAAATGTTAAGTTTTCTTCTTAAGTTAGTTTGATAGGAACTACTTACAATAGACAATGATATTTTCCATAAAGTAACATTGCTGTCTGTATATCTCAGTTTGACAACCATTTTAAGGCCCTGCCCACTAGTTCATGGTCCAGTGACTTTGAATTAATTATCAATGTTGCTGTCCATCAGATGGTCTTTTTCTGAATTTTATGCAGACGATGGTTTTACACTAGTAATTTTTTGGGGCCCTTTATAGTTTGCTGTTCTGTGTGAGCCAATGCTCCGTGTTGAAGGCCGTACCTTGACCTATAATGGTTTACTTTTATAAATTGTAACTTGGATGGAGAGTTGTCTCATTGGCACTCATACCACATCTTCCTATATCTAAATAAGACATATATCTGTCAACAGTTTATTACTGAATATTCAAAAATTGTATGCCCCTGTAAGTAGGTAAAAGATGAACAACAGAACATGTAGATTGTAAGAAAAAACAAATTGTTGTTGTGTGAACTTTGCATTAATTAATATAGCTAATGATAAAGATTTCAAAGATATGGTTATTATACACTGTTATAATTGTGTTTCCTCCAAACTAAATTCTGCTTTACAACCAGTCAATAAAGTGTAAAATTACTTACAGGTGAAAGCCCACATAGCTGAAATACAGAAGTTATTAGAGTTTCCTGATAAACTGCAGTATGAACACGAATCTGAAAGAGACTTAGCAAGATTACAAAGAAAAGCAAAGTAGGTTTTTATTTGGGAATTAAATGAATACAGAGATAATGGACATGAGACAATACTGTACTCCCTTAAACTAGTTGCAAATAATATATCTAGATAAAAAAGAAAAGGAAAGAAGTTTAAAACATATTTTCTTGTTATACACATATTATTGTATTGTTGGATTGGCATTAAATAGTCAGTATTTTTCTGACCACTGATGTCTATGGGAATTATTGACGAAGCATTGCCAAAAAACTAGTAAATAAAATCCTCAGTCTGATATGGGCTTGTCTAGGGATGATATAAAAATGCCAATGGGCAAAAGAGTATGGAAATCATGCACATGAGACAATACTCTATAAAACTTCATAAAAATATCAATATATCAAAAGATCTGTGCTTTTATTGCTGTTCTTCATCTTGAGAATGTGTTCAGTGATAAACTAAAAATTTCACATGTAACATCAACTAAGTATTGACAGAAATATTGTTCTATATGCTGGAAATTCAAAGGTTTTCAAAAAATGTAGAGAATATACAGCAAATTACCATTAGTTAATGTATGCGTAAGAAAGTGCTGTAAAATTGACTTGTTGTCAAGTGAAAGACATTTAGATTGGAACTAGAGATCATTAGATAACGTACACATTAGATATTTACAAGTCATGGAATGTTTTCATTTTAACTAATAATGTAAATCGGTTGGAAATGATCAGTATTTAGATTCTTAATACATTTTTTTTGTAGTTGCATATATATGAAAAGTGAAATAAAAAAAATCGATCGTTATTTTTGTGAAACTCATACATATTTGATGGTTACATGCTGTGAAATGTTCATTAAATCTTTTATTGCAATATTCACAGAGAAAACTGAATTCAGTTGATGTTAACCATTGTTGAATCAGTAAATGAAACTTATTTTTCTATGAATATTAAGAGTGGACAAAATGAAAGAACAACAATTCTATTGTGGCTTACAGTTTCAATCAAGTATGATCATTTTTTGTCGAGCCTGCGACTTTTGTCTCAGAAAGCTTGACATAGGGATAGTGATCTGCCGGTGGCAACATCCACGGCGGCATTAATTAACTATTAAAAAGCGTAATATTTCAGAAGATAGAAGACCTGGATGCTTCAAACTTTGTATAGAGATGCCTAATGTGATGAAGTCTCCTTCTGTCATATGTCTGTTGGCCTTGACCTCATTTTCATGGTTAAGTGACTATTTGAAAAAAAAGTTGATTTTTTGTAATGTTAATTTCTCTCTTTTTACGAGTAATAGGATGACTATATTTGGTATGTGCATACCTTGCACAGTCCTCATGCCTGTCAGACAGTTTTCACTTGACTTCGACCTCAATTCATGGATCAGTGAACAAGGTTAAGTTTTTGTGGTCAAGTCCATATCTCAAATACTATAAGCAATAGGTCTCCTATATTTGTTGTATAGAATGATTGTAAGGTGTTCATGTCCAACTGGCAGGTGTCATCTGACCTTGACCTCATTTTCATGGTTCAGTGGTTAAAGTTAAGTTTATGTGTTTTGGTCTATTTTTCTAATACTGTATAAAATAGGTCAGCTATATTTGGTGTATGGAAATATTTTATGTTGTACATGTCAGTCTGGCTGATTTTATCTGACCTTGACCTCATTTTCACGGTTCATTGCTCAAAGTTTTTGTGTTTTGGTCTGTTATAAGCAATAGGTCAACTATGTTTGGTGTATGGAATGATTGTAATGTTTATATGTCTGTCTGGCAGGTATCATCTGACCTTGACCTCATTTTCATGGTTCATTGGTCAATGATACATTTTCGAGGTTAAGTTTGTTTCTTAGATACTATATTTGATACGCCAACTATATTTGATCCATGGAATGATTGTAAAGTGTACATGTCTGTCTGGCAGGGTTCATCTGACCTTGACCTCATATTCATGGTTCATTGGTCAATATAAAGTTTTCATTGTTTGGTCTGTTTCTTGTATACTATAAGCAATAGGTCAACTAAATTCAATGTATGGAATGATTGTAAGGTGTACATGACTACATTTATTTCTGGCATGGTTTATCTGACCTTGACCTCATTTTCTTGGATCATGATAAGTCAATGTGATACTTGTAGTTAAACTTTATATTTAGGGCTATCAACATAAAATCAATGGTAGTAAAGTAGGCGAGACATTTCAGCGTGTGCACTCTTTACAATTAAGTTCTATAAAATTTGTAAGCAATCATAAAAAGATAATATTCAGATTTATATCTTGTATTATGAAATTCTGAAATACATATGAAATACAAATTACAAATGTTCATTTTCAATGTAATCTTAATTTGTAGAAATTTAGTTGATGACTGGATGGAACATTATCGTGTAACGATTGGACTTATCTCCCCTGATATTAGCAGAATGAAAGATCGACCTGAATTTACAGATTACAGACGCAAGATACAATCAGCTAGAATATCAGAAAGAATGGATAGAGACACAGCAAGCCAGAAAGCAGTTCTTGACCTGGCAACTGACAGACGAATTAGAGCTCCCTCTGCCCCATTAGGTAATTGCAAAGGGAAAAAAGGGTTTTGTATACTTACTTATATCCTACCAATGAATTATTTTTCTGTACTGATGAAGGTATATATATACTTTACTGCAATATTAGATAACTGAACATTACAATTGTATACTGCAATTATAGAATACTGAATATTTGTGCATTTTGGGGTCCATATACCTTAGAAAAATTCAATATCTAATATTTTATTTTTATTTTCAGGAAAATTTGATGCAAATTGTTTTAAGATATCAAAAATGTCCTAAGCAATCCTTGGTTCAACTTTTAAAACTTTATGAATTTGAAGTTGTGTTTTACTAAACTACTAAACCAATATCAATGTCACTTCGTAAATCAAGGTTTGACATGTCATATTGTTTGTTAAAGAAAAGGTCAGCCGTATTTATATTTATAATTAGTACATTATATAAAAAGTTTTTACCTGATACTTTTATTTTGATTTGCGTATATTATGACTTACAGATTACATATTTGTTTTAGCCCGTTCTTGCCTCAAGAAAGGTAAAGTTAACCCTATCTTAATGATCACCTATACCCAAAATCCCTGTCCTGTATTACCTGAATGAATCCTTAAAAACAGAATTACTGTTTGTAACGGTTGAAATAAGAATTTCATCATTTGTTTGTCATTATTGCCGGCAGATTTTATATAGGGCAAGTTAAGTTCAAAATTAACACGCCTGCTTGATTTGTTAATTTTGTTATCTTACATAGTTTTAAAGTAAAATTTATTAAATTAGATTTTAATTTAAGGTAGATGGGGTGTCTAAATTATAATCCATAGAATTTTTTAATAATTTGCCAAAATGTAGTTTATATCATGCTTTTTAAAAAAAAATAATAAAAAGAATGGGTCACGGGGCTTATTTTCACGCTACAGATTGTGCAAAATTGACAGATTTTGTATAGATTATGCATGGAAAAACCAATTTTCTGCTATAAAACGAAAACTACACCATAGAATTTTGAGATAAAATATGAGAAGATAGCTCTACTAGTATGCTTTCAGATAAGAAAAAGAAAAAATGGGGTCACGGGACCCGTTTTCTTGCTACATAATAAAATAGGTAAATTCCTAACACATTCTATTGTAAATGTAACTTTATCTGAATTATCTGCCCTTACATTTGAGTTGCCTCCCCTTATGTGGCAAAGTTGGAAAAAATAGAATCAAACAAAAGTATTCTTTTTTTTATAAAATACAACCATAAATATGATAAAATAGATCATTTTCTATATTGAAATGAAAATTCTTACACATGAATTACCTACTACTCTCAAAATTTGCACCTTTTATTAAAGATCTAGACCGATTGTTTTCTGGTATTTTAAAATCCAAGATGGAGGAAGACACCCTATCTACCTTAAGAAGGGATTTCAACTTTTTGATTGATTAGTTTTGCAAAGTCTTTTTTAACTCCAAAGTACTTCATTGCCTTTTTGAACTAGAACACTAAATTTACCTACCCTGGCATATTTAATCTTGAAAACCATTTGTAATTTATTTTATGTTTTATTCAACAATTTTGATAAATCAGCCCTAATATTATTACTGCAAATAAAGTCACACGAGCAGAAACTTTAGAATATCATTTTGGTGGCAGCATTAATTTTCAGAAAGTAATTCATACAGTTGATTCCTATCTAATATTTCCCCTGGCCCAGCAAAAATTGGTATAGAGGTAGCTAACACAATAACCATTTCAACCAGTCACTTCTTGCATGACCTTGTCCTAATTTTAACATTCCAGTAACTAGATTTTTTGGTAATGTCTGTTTCTCAGTAACTTTGCATGACTTGTTAATAATTTTTGGTATGTGGATTTTAAGTAAGAAATTCATGGCCATGTGCAAAATATGTTGTAAGCCTGAAGCCATTACCTTATTTTAACTGTCTAGTGAATTATTTTACTATGTGTCTTTTCAGAAGCTACGCTTGTTAAATCCACAATATTTTGTTTATGATTTACTTGTCATTAATATTTGCCGGCTTGAAATATCTTATATGACATGGTAATCATTTGTTTATGTTCCAGTTGGTATATTGAATGTTTTTGGATTAACTTCCTTGGTAACAAAGCATGCTAAATTGAAAGTATGTAAGCTTACTGGAGGGAGTACATTTCGATCCAAAAGATGTCATAAAACTTTGTTAGCATTTTTTGTTGTTTATAGATATAGATGTATACAGATAAGACATTTTAGGGAGTTATGTCATTTTGTGTTGATCATAGTGTTCAAGGTATGCTAAAGCTAATTGAAGTTCAACTCTAAACAAAAACCTGACCATATGTCCTATGTATTATTAAGTCTTCCAAACTCAGTTATACTTCCTCTTCTGTAGCTTTTCTAACTTGAACTTATCCGCAGCATTTTTCCAAAGCTGCTTGTCAGATTACCTGAAGGTTCCACAATATGTTAGACTAACATGTCCAGTGGTGCAATCAGACTTTTATTTGTGCATCAGGGGCTATTAAGGAGTACTTTAAGGGGCCATAAGAAATGGGTTAGTTATGGAACCCTATGGGATGTTTTAATTTTTTATTTTCAAATGATTATAACTTTAGAACAGATAGTGATAGACACATGGAGTCTTCAGTAATGACCATGGGAACATATGGCCTACTTCAAGGTCAAAAGGTAAATGGTCACCTATGACCTTGACCTTTGACCCTGAACATTTTTTTTTCAATTTACACAAAACACAAAATTGGAGAATCTATATAATTGAAAATTTCTACATGATGAAACAAATGGAATGAAATATAGGGTTAGTCCCCAATGGTCACCCCTACCCTCTGCCATTTGAGAATGTTCTTATATCTTGTAAATGGTCAAGATCCCCAACCCTAAACCATTAATATTCCTGTTTGTCATGTCAAAATGATTTGAATGATATACAGGGTTATTCCTCAGGGGTCATCCCCACTCCCTGCCATTTAAATATGTTCAAATATCTTTTTAAGTGGTTAAGATCCCCACCCCTAAACCATATTTTTCTGGTTTGACATGCCAAGATGAATTAAATGATATCTAAGGTTAGTCCCAAGGGGTCATCCCCACCCCCTGTCATTTGAATATGTTCACATATCTTATAAGTGGGTGAGATCCCCACCCCTAAACCATATATTTTCTAGTTTGACATGAAAAGATACATTAAATGAAATATTAAAGAGGTTCCCAGTGGTCATCCCCACCCCCTCTCATATAAGAATGTTCTTATATCTTGTAAATGGTAACGATCCCTACTCCTTAACCATATAATATCTGAAAGATGAATTGAATGAATAATAGGGGGAGTCCTTAGGGGTTTGTTCTAATGGGGACTTTGTTCGGGAGACTTCGTCACAGCTTCCTGTTACAATCATTTCTTGTTATTTCTGACTTTATTGTTATTACGTTTACTGCAGAGTATTTATAAGAACAATGGTTTCAAAAGTTAAAATTGAAAAAGATGATTTTTTTTCTTCAGTTTTATCACGGACCACACCGAAAGACACTGCAAGGAAGTCTGCTGTGGCATCGGTGGTTAAATTTGACGATGAGCCACATGAGATTGGTGATGACGACATGTCACCCACTGCACTAGCTGTTCTAGAGAGATTAACACAGTATGAATACTATTTCTTAGGGAATGGGGCTATATTTTGACAATTGTTACTTTTTGTTGCAGATTGACCATAGATATGGAGCTGGTTGACACACTATCTTGAGAGGTCAACACTCAAAATGATATGACATGTTTTGCCACCTATTTTTGGGACATGTCACTACAAATATCAGCAAATAAGTTTGAAATGTCTATTTTCAAGGTCAAGGTCACAAAATTAGTTCAGTTGTACATCCCCATATTCAAATATACCTAGTTGTGTCATGACTCATAACTTTTGAATTGCTTGAAAGATAAAAATGATATTTTGATTTTTTTGTTGTCAGCCACCATAAGGTGTGTTTAGATTTAGGTTAAAATGTTGACTGCAAGGTTAAGGTCACAAATGTAGTTTGAAATACATAAAGTTGTGTCTGAAATATACTTGTCTAAGAACCAATTGAAACAAAATATGGTGAACTTTTCCTTTTTCAAAGTATACAAAGTAATCATACATTTTAATATTTTGTATAATTTATTTTTTAGATCGGCTGGTAAAAGATCAACTAGAAGTACTAGAACAAGTCTATCTAGTGCTCCTGTGTCACGACAGGTTACAAGCTTGAGCCATATAGACTTGTCAACTGTCAAAGTCCATTGTCCAATAGCTATTCGACAACAGCTATTAGGATTAGAGCGGCCATCTTGTCGTTGCAGCAGACATTACATTCCACAGATCACTGACATTGAATATGATGATTTTGTATCAACAGAAGCTCCTGAATCACAAGTTATTGTTATCTCCGTTATTTCGTCATTGTAAGTCAACTTTCACAATATAAAAATAAGGAGATGTGGTAGGATTGACAATGAGACAACTATCAACCTAAGTTCAAATGAAGTGGATGTAAGCAATTATAGGCAACTGTACGACCTTTCAACAATGAGAAAAACCCATACTGTATAGTCAGCTATAAAAGGCTTCGACATGAAAAATATGAAACAATTTAATTAAGAGAGGTAAAGAAAAGTATAAAACTTTTTTTCGTAGTATGTCGTCCGTTAACTTTTACAAAAATCTTCTCCTCTGAAACTAATGGGCCAAATATAAACAAAATTGGCCACAATCATTATTAGGGTATCTAGTTTGAAAAATGTGTACAATGACCCATCCTGTCAGCCAAGATGGCTGACATGGCTAAAAATAGAACATAGAGGTAAAATGCAAGTTTTGCCCATTATTTTGAAAATCTGATAGGGCAAATATGTTCAAAATGTTGAGCTCTACCAACTTCTTCGTTTACACCAAAACTGCCAGACGGCTTCTTATAGGAGATATTGTCCTTAAGTGATGATTTTTACCAATTTTGTGCATTATTGCCTAATATCTTAAAAACTATGATAGATAGATAGAAACTTTAAAAAGCAAAAATGATCAGCAGGACAAGATCTACAAATAAGTCAAACATAGCAGAAATCTTCAGTTGACTCATTATTAGAGTTGTTGCCCTTTAATGACGATTTTTACGATTTTTTTCTGTTTCTGCTTAATGTCTTAAAACCCAGAATAGTAAGATAGAAACTTTTAAAGCAAAAATTTTCACCAAGACAAGATCTACAAATAAGTCAACATAACCGAAATCATTAGTTGAATCCTTATTGAAGTTATTGGCCTTTAATAACGATTTTTTTCCATTTTTTCCCATTTTTCCCTATTATCTTGAAAAATGTTATAGATAGATAGAAACTTTAAATAACACAAATGATCAGCAAGACAAGATCTACAAATAAGCCATTATGCCCTTAAATGATAATTTCTAACATTTTTATGCATTTCTTTACTATAATCTTGAAAACTATATTAGATAAATAGAAACTTTAAAAAGGGAAAAATTATCAGCAGGATAAGATCTACAAATATTTCCACATCACTGAAATTGTCAGTTAACTCAGAGTTATTCTCTTAAATGATGAGTTTTACTAAATAGTGGCTATTGTTGAAGATGCAGGTGTGCGACACAGGCTCTTAAGAGCTTCTAGTTCTAATAAAATTTGTATGTTTTGACAAATGTCACCTCTTTAGTAGTAAAAGTAAATTTTTACTGTACTGATATTCTCAGAAAGAGTTTTCACTGGACTGATATTCTCAAAAAGAGTTTTCACTGGACTGATATTCTCAAAAAGAGTTTTCACTGGACTGATGTTCTCAGAAAGAGTTTTCACTGGACTGATATTCTCAGAAAGAGTTTTCACTGGACTGATATTCTCAAAAAGAGTTTTCACTGGACTGATGTTCTCAGAAAGAGTTTTCACTGGACTGATATTCTCAGAAAGAGTTTTCACTGGACTGATATTCTCAAAAAGTGCACTTTAATAATTTCCAAGACTTGCTGTTCAAAATGTGTTTTTCTTTCAGGCTGCTGGAAATCTGATGCATAAGTGAAGAGGAAATTTAAAGGACCTACATTTTAAAATGATATTATTCCATTGTAATGTTTTTTGTCTCTTTTTCAGATTTCCATATGTAAATTCAGCAGAAGATATGTTGGAAGAAATTTATATGAATCAAAATAGGAATCGAACTAAACCTTGTGTTCAAGGACGGAATGATACCTATAGGATTTTTCAATATGATATTAATACGGCAGCTGAAGGGTCACATCACACAACACCCCTTCTTCTTACTCGGCATAATGTAGTTCCTGGTATGATTCTTGTAAGTAATATTATGGATGAAATCAATAGATATTAATTCAGTAGCTCTGTCTGGAATTTCACACCATTTTTTTCATGTAGACATCACTAGCTGACTCTTATGTTTATGATGTTACATTTATATTGCAATAGGAAGACGATGAATAAACACAATATACACAACACATTTTATCTACTTTACCTAACAATCTCTGCATAATTGAATTTCAGTTTAATTTTTTACTTACAAAAAGTTTTATTCGTCACAAGACTCAATCAATTGACAAAAGTTGATGTTAACATGCAATACGGTTTACATGACCAAACACATCTTTGGTACATTCACATACAAACTCATATCTCAATTGCTTTAAAAAGGGGAAGATGACCAAGATGTCCATATGTCTGTGATCATACAAATTATTCAAAGCAGAATACATGTAATTTCTACAGTGGGCATATCATAACATAATTTCTACAGTGGGCATATCATAACATAATTTCAACTTGGGCTTACAATACAAATGATGTGGATTTAAGCAACTATAGGTCACCATATGGCTGTCAACAACCTGCAAAACCAGAACCGTAAAGTCAGCTATAAAAAACCATTGTTCAGTATAGATCATTCTGCATTTAAAAAAAAGTCTGTGCAACCTGACCATTTGCATCTTTGATCAATTTCTATGTAATTTCTTCAGGTTATCAGGTTTTTGTGACATTCAAAATTATTCATTTTAAACAGAAATATTCATGTAAACCCCAGAAAAAAAATGTGTTCTATCAATCTTGTTTCTTGAACTTAAAATTGAGAATGGAAATGGGGAATGTGTCAAAGAGACAACAACCCGAACACAGAGCTATGCTATTGTATATGATATTTTAGATGTATATGAATGCGAATCTGTCTTGAACTTAACATGCTATCGTATATGATATTTTAGATGATTATGAATGGGAATCTGTCTTGAACTTAACATGCTATCGTATATGATATTTTAGATGATTATGAATGGGAATCTGTCTTGAACTTAACATGCTATCGTATATGATATTTTAGATGTATATGAATGGGAATCTGTCTTGAACTTAACATTCTATCGTATATGATATTTTAGATGTATATGAATGGGAATCTGTCTTGAACTTAACATTCTATCGTATATGATATTTTAGATGTATATGAATGGGAATCTGTCTTGAACTTAACATTCTATCGTATATGATATTTTAGATGTATATGAATGGGAATCTGTCTTGAACTTAACATTCTATCGTATATGATATTTTAGATGTATATGAATGGGAATCTGTCTTGAACTTAACATTCTATCGTATATGATATTTTAGATGTATATGAATGGGAATCTGTCATTCTGTGATCATATATTCAATGGTTATGGTAATGCAAGAAGAGACTTCAAAAAACAAGTAATGAAAACAAGATTACAGGCAATGCAAGGGTTCTCCTTACCCAAAGATTTTAGATTCAGGTAAATATAAAGGGTCAAATGTAAAGCAAACAAACAGAAGTCCTTACACCAAAAGATTTCAGACTGTAAAAAAAAAGGAAAATAATTTCAGTGAATACAAGAATTCTATCATTACCAAAGATATCTGATCAAAACAAGATATGATTAATTGATTGTTGGTGTTTAACACCACTTTTAGCACTCTTGGGTATTTCATGTCAGCCTGTTTTTATTGGTGGAGGAAGCCAGAGTACCTAGAGAGAACTACAACTTTCGGAGCTCCTATTTCTCAGCTGATAGTAGAGCTGATATCGAAAAATGTCATTTATTAATTTATAAATGCATGACTTATATTCTTCACCAATGACTTATAATTAGATTAGCTTTTCAAAGGAACTGTTCAGTAAAAAAAATGATAATGTTGATATTTCAGTCCAGTCAAGGGTAAATCTGGAATGAGGTCAGCTTGGGGTGGAGAGATAGGGGGTACAGGAGTGGACCACTGGGGTAATCCTGGAATGTCTGTGGACTCTGCACTAATGCCAATACAGCGACCACTGACATCCTCCACGGATGAGGACAGAGTTGACAGACTCAGAGAAAACACAAATATACAGCAAGTCAAGTAAGTCTATTTATTTGTTGTAAAGTCATTGCATTTCATATCTTGGTAAGTTAGGATAAATTTCTTAATACCATATTTACCATTGATGACATTAGAAAAACGTTTTTGTAGGCATTAAGAGGGAGAAAAATGCAGGTTCTGTCTGAAACGCAAGATAATATGTTACATAATGTTTAGGGATTATTATTGTTGCTAGGATACAAGTTTTAGTAAACTTCCAGGTTTAGTACCACAAAGCACATTACACAATTTTATTTTTCAAATTACATGGATTCAAATATCATAGAGCAACATTTTATTCTAAATAACAAAAGAAAAATTTTTGAATTGTACTATGATAAGAAATGAAGTGCAGACAGCTGGCCTTAAATTATATATATAATTAAATGTTACATGGTGTATTGTTTTTATATGATCAGTAAATAGTTGTATATCTTAGCTAGATGTTACATCCAATATATGCTATGAATGTTCACTGTATTGTAAATAAATCCCTCTCACAAACCACCGAGACGAGTTGTTTTTCAAGTAACATTTTTTTAATTCTAAATTCATATGAATCTGTTTTTATTTCTTGAATTTGCATTAACATTTTAATACATATATTATCACTCATAATTTTGTAAAAATGATTGAAAAGAAAAAAATACTCTTCAAAAGAAAATACTTGACAGAAAACTTGAAAAGCAATTTATCTTCCATTTATCCATTTCCGGTTGCATATTGTAGTCACTTATACCTACACTTATTTTGTCAAACTTTAATGCATATTTTGATTACTGCATAATTATCATAAAAATTAAATCTGGCTTCTTTTTAATCCTTTTGTGGAAGTTTGAATTTAAAAAAAAAAAAAGATATCAAGCATAAACCACAGATAAGTTGTAGGACAAAGTCTTAATAAATATGATGAAATTATCATACAATCTCATTGAACTCCATCAATAAGTCTTACAGTCTTGTAAACGAAAGGATCATGTCCCTAAGTTAAAACCGGAGTTATTTAAGTATGTTACAATCAAAAACATGAATGAGATGTAATTATGTCTTAGACATTGAACCTGCTATACAACTTCTGACTTTTTTTGTATAATATTCTGTGAATTTACAATGTTATTTCACTTTTCAAGGTGGATTAGGTATAGTGTGCACTGAAGGAAAAGGGGATTGAGGTTTAGGATTTTTTGTCAGAACACTTTTCACTTAGTTGCTAGTGACAATACTAAAAGTACTTTATATCGAAAGCTATTAATTGAATAAAAGTAGATTTTGATATAATACTCATTACCAAATTTTTGTACACAGAAGATTTGGTGTACATCCGACATTCTTACTTATTAATTATGAAGAGCTTAATTATATCATCATCTTAAATAAAAAATGTAGTAGTTATTTATTATCAAAACCCAGCTGGAATATATATGTTTACCTTGTAACTGATTACCATTATATCTATTTTGATGGTTAAAAATAATTTAAAATATCAAAATGTACTTAAGAAATCTATAGCTATTAAATATGTGATTTCAAAACCTATTAGTGATTCAAACAGTATTTGCAACAATCAAAATAGATTTTACCAGCATCAAGAAAATATGTCTATGATTACTGGGTTTTCATGAAAAAAAAAGTATTGTTTGATTTAGTGAAATGTATTGTCACTTAAGTTTTTTTTCTCACTTAGGCCAAGGTCACATTTGTTGCTTTTAGTTTAAATGGTGATGGCTGTATTGATGAGGATTTTATTACCGTTTCCTAGGTGATAGCTAATTATCAACTTTCAGATTTCAGATATAGGAATATAGGAATACCATTATTTATCATCAAAAGTTCAAAACGAAGAAAGTAATTTGTTAAATTGGGAAATAATACTAGGTCAAAATGAATATCAAACATTTTTTTACTTGAAAATGTTCACAAAGCATATTTAGTTTTTCAAAATATAATAGATGAAAACTTCATGTTGAGTCTTGAAAAAATAATTTAAAAAACTCTTTTCTTTTAATATAACTTCATCTAAATTTCAGCAAAACAACAAATTTTAAAACTATTTTTTGCAGTGTGAGAATTTTCATCCGATGGATGTTATATTATTAGTCAAACTGGTTTAAGGGGAGATAAATATGCTTTTTGTCAAGCGGGATGTATGTAGTTAAAGGGGAGATAAATATACTTTGTCAAGCATGATGTATGCAGTTTAAGGGGCGATAAATATGCTTTGTAAAACATGATGTATGCAGTTTAAGGGGAGCTAAATATGCTTTGTCAAGCAGGATGTATGCAGTAAGGATATACATCTCTTTTCCATTTGTTAAATATAATTTACACCATTTTGTTACTTCAACTGAAAATCACACTGAACGTTTTAATAACATCATATTTTCCGGTAAAAAGCAGCATTTGATAAAATGGTCAATGCTGTATTGTGTTTCAGAATTCTTTCTATATGCGGTCAAGGAACGTTACCAGTATTATGCAAGTTAGCCTGTGTATTCTATCTTTCTTGATTCTGTATGGTGTGTTATTATAAATCTACACCATACTGTCACTATCATACTAAGGGACAAATATCTAACACATTTGATAACCTAATGTCACATTTTTTTGTTTTTGTGCAATTTTTAATCTTAAACAAGAAGTCTTCTCTGAGAAAAAAAAACTAGTAAAAAAGTAAAAATAACTTCAGTAGCAACTTTTTATTATATCTTTATAACATTTTAGGGAAATTTATGCTAAACTTGGGCCAATGCTATCAATAGAACCATTCAAGAGGAGGTAACTTGTGTTGTGATGACTGATGCTAAAATCGCACATCTATAATCTCAGGGTCTTCACGTCACAATTCATTCGGGCATTTCATCAGCATGTCATTCAGTGCTTTAACAAAAAGATTACAATGAATGTAAATTTTGTTCAAGAGAAATAATTTTATAACATAATATGCATGCCATTACATAGAATAAGTTTGAAAGGAAATCAAATAATGACTTGATGTATTTTTATTTAGGCTAGTATTGTAGGATTGGCATGTTTTAACATTACCATTTGTTAAAAAGCTTATTTATTCATTAAAAAATTCATAAATCTACATGATATAAAGTTAAAGTAGTTTCTGGGAACATAGGTTATTTGTACTTTCTTAATTTTAGACCAGACTTGAATGAATTGTGTTTTAGCAGAATTTTAGATAAATTAGGAATAAAACTCAGTGACTGTGTTAACCAATAATTTATGCTAATTTATTTAATATGTTAATTTATTTTGAAATCTTTTTTAAATTCCTTTGCATACTAATGGTAGATATTTATTTTAAATTTTACATTCAGAATTTTATTTTAACTATTTTTTAGGGTTTTGCATAATAAAAACTTCTATAATTAGTTAATTTTTTCTATTTTTGGTTTGAATCTTGTCTGGTTAGATTTTTATGAAATAAGTTTCTTTCCACTGACTCTGCTTGTAGATGATTAATTTATTTATAAGCTAAGTTCAATTTTTATCATGATAGTTAGTTAACAATTAGTTATATCCGATACATGCCTGCTAGACATTCAGAAAAAATAAGTTGATAGTTGTTTTGTCAGTCTGGACTGTACATAAATGTGATGACGGACTCTTTTTCTAATTATCTGAGTAAAGAAATGAAGGTAGATAGGTATAAGAGTACACCTGAAGCATAATTTCATCTACATAATATCATTCTACATAATCAATCATGGTGGTCACAGTATGTTTTGATGGTCTATCTCATTTATATCTTTCGAGATCAGAATGTTTAATTTCATAAAATGTCTCTTTTTATAAAGAATTTAATTTTAAATTTATTTATCCTTATCTAATTTGATTGTAGAAAATTCTTATATGTAAAATATGATTATTTCTATGACACTACATGTACTTTTTGTCTAAAGGATGTAAAGCAATCACCAATCAATCAATCAATCAATCAATCTAAAGGAAAAAAAGTTAACTTTGTTATTCTCATGTAAACCTAGTTGAATTACTAGTAAGTATTTTCCCCATTTTTTTGTACAGAGAAGAAAGGGGCCAGATCATATATGTAAATTAATGTGTAAGTACAAAGGGAGGATTGTAGTGAAGCAATACTTGCACAAATATTTTAGCAATTGTTCACTACCTTTTGGATTATTGCTATTGTTTTCCAAAATTATGTCCAGGGGGGTTATGTGCAGTAATTTAGGGTTGCAATTTTTATATATTTTTTTTATAATATAATAATAATAATAATTTATTTTATTATTTATATCTATCAAATTAATTAAATAATTAAATCTTCAAGCTATGTTAGATAGGCACTCTTTCAAAGTAATATTATTTTCTCGTGGAGATATTATATGTTTCAGTATTTTGTATTCAAAGTTCATTCTGCACCAAGAAATGTCTTTTTCTAGAGTAGAATATTTATGATAGAGAAAAAATGATAAACTGCAAAATGATATATCATTTTAAAGAGTGCATAGTTTAGTCTTTAGACAGAAGGAACTAAAGTTACACAGAAGTCAACTTTTTACAATAATATTGTATTTGAAAACTTCAGATAACAATTATTTGCATTGATTTTATTGGATTTTCACTTAAATGAAGTCTTTTACCAGTTCAGCACATAGCACCTCCAGCTTCACAAATTATTTTGAAATTTAAAGTTTTGGAAATTAATACTCAGATTATAAAGACTTTCATCAGGCCAATTGTTTAATAAGTTTGAATTACATAAAAACAAGTGGTCTAATATAATACATTTAAAAGGACTTACATACTCCAGTTCAGTGATCATTAACATTGAGAAAACGGTCAAGCAGGTCAGTACTGAAAACATTTGTAAAAGTTGTTTCTTTTAGAACTTCACAAAAAAATAGTTTATTATATTAAACATTTTGCTATTACATGTACCAGTAATCCAAAAGGTCTTACCAGGCAATACACAAATTTCAAAAGGTCCAAATAGTCAGAACATTAGATCAAAAAGGTCCAAACAGGCAATATATTAGATCCCAAAAGTCCAAATAGGCAATACGTTAGACCAAAAAGGTTCAAATAGGCTATACAATAGATCCTAAAGGTCCAAATAGGCTATACATTACATCCAAAATGTCGTATCGGGCAATACATTAGATCCAAAAGGTCCAAATATTCAATACATTACATCCAAAATGTCCTATCAGGCAATACATTAGATCCAAAAGGTCCAAATAGGCAATACATTACATCCAAAATGTCCTATCAGGCAATACATTAGATCCAAAAGGTCCAAATAGGCAATACATTACATCCAAAATGTCCTATCAGGCAATACATTAAATCCAAAAGGTCCAAATAGGCAATACATTACATCCAAAATGTCCTATCAGGCAATACATTAGATCCAAAAGGTCCAAATAGGCAATACATTACATCCAAAATGTCCTATCAGGCAATACATTAGATCCAAAAAGTCAATAGGCAATAAATTAGATCCAAAAGGTCTATAGGCAATACATTAGATCCAAAATGTCCTACCAGGCAATACATTAGATCCAAAATGTCCTAATATTAAAGCAATGCATTAGATCCAAAAGGTCCTACTAGGCAATACATTACATCCAAAAGGTCCAAATATGCAATACATTAGATCCAAAAGGTCCAACTACCGTCTGCAATACATTAGACCCAAAAGGTCCTAATAGGCAATACACTAGATCCAAAAGGTCCAACTACCGTCTGCAATACATTAGACCCAAAAGGTCCTAATAGGCAATACACTAGATCCAAAAGGTCCAACAACCGTCGGCAATACATTAGACCCAAAAGGTCCTAATAGGCAATACACAAGATCCAAAAGGTCCAACTAGGCAACACTATAGATACTACTCGCATGCTGGCATGGCTTCACAGTTTTTTTTATTCAAGTAAAGGTAAAATCAAAAGAAGATAATCTCTAAATTCACATCATAGTTAAGGTTAAGGTTGACGGTGATAATTGTAATTCACATCATAGTTAAGGTTGATGGTGATAATTGTTGCACTGTATTGAGACAGTGGTATGCATATCTTTGTAAAGTGTATACACTTGTGTGGACAATAGGTTTTTGCAAATGAGTAGGGAAGTTAACAAATACCATCTATCAGAAAAATAAATAAATCTTAAATGATCTTATGCACTAAAGCCATTGTTCATTATGGAATGCGAAATGGTAGAAATTATTAATGCTGTTGCTGTGTCTAAAGTTTATGTTTCTTTAACATATGTTTTTGTTTAAAGCTTACCTTAACACTCCTCTTGATATTGTTTATATTATTCAAATTTGAAATGAAAAAAAAAACAGCAATTTATAAGGCAAATACTGGTTAAATTAGTAAATGATATGTTTTATCAATTTTTGAAAAATGAATGTCACATTTTATCATGTCTGTGTAACAGTGAAAATAATAATACGTTTCAAGGTAAAAATAGAATTTAACATGTTATCAAAATATTTGAACTCATGCAATCATGGATGGATACCCCATATCCTTTCTTTTCTATTTTATTATTACTTCACAAGATAGAGAAGACAAACACGTTTATTGTATCTTTAATGTTTCATTTTAGCTCATGCATATTTCATTAAATCTTGTTTTGTTATCTCATTTTATAGATTTAATTTTACCATACTTTATACTAGTATTAGAATTGTATAACATTAGATAACAAATAATAAACACAAACATATATTCATTGTTAATAGTGCATGGTCTGTGTATTTACTGCATGTTATTTTATTAACAGACTTCAACGTCATCGGACTTTCGTTCCTCGTTTAGTTGATTTACAGGTAATTGTCACTTTACAGACAGGTTCAAATCTCCCATGTATTTACAGTTTTTAGGGAAATCCAAAATTTACATAAATTTCAACAAACCTAATATTTTATTACATATTTATAATAGAGATTTATCCGTATCACTTCTTCCTATATACATTTCTATAAATCCAAGCAGTTAATACATTAGCTGATACAAAAGTCCTACCTTAGTCCTAATAGAAAAATATACTTTCATGTTATTCATCGATAATGGTTTTCAAAGTTTAGATTTTTTTCAGATTTCTTTATTAAAAAATGTTAGCATCCAAAATCTAAGGAACTTTTAAAACAGAGATTGATCATAATCTTCAGAATGTTTAAAATGTTATGATTAATCCTGATTGAGGTACATCAAGCACATGAACCGAAGTCTAAGAACGTGTAAATAATGTAACTTGTTAATCAGAATTTAAAGAATATTTTTACGTTGAGAACCATAATCTTAAAAACAAATAATATATGTTAACCATCAATCCTGAATGATACCTGTACCAATAAAGTAATACTCATTGACAATAAAAAAAGGTAAAACAAACAATACCACTTTGTTGTCAAGTAGTATTTTATAATATTTGTTTTTATACGACCGCAAAAAAATTTTTGTGGTCGTATATTGGTATGACGTTGGCGTCGTCGTCGTCGTCCGGCGTCGTCGTCCGGCGTCGTCGTCCGAATACGCATTAGTTTTCGCACTCTAACTTTAGTTTAAGTGAATGGATCTCTATGAAATTTTACCATAAGGTTCAATACAACAAAAGGAAGGTGGGGATTGATTTTGGGGGTTATGGTACCAACAGTTAAGGAATTAGGGGCCAAAAATAAGAATTTTCTAGTTTCCAGACAATAACTGTGGAACGGTGTATGGATCTCTCTGAAATTATACTACAAGTTTCCATACCACAAAGGGATGTTTAGGATTTGCTTTGAGGGGTTATGGCTCAAACCGTTTAAGAATTAGGGGCAAAAAAGGGGGAAAAACAAGGTTGTCCTGGTTAATGGACAAATACTTTAGTACAAAACATAATTTTAAGCAGTGTAAGGGAGATAAATCAAATACATCATTGAAATTATCTCCCTTACACTGCTTTTTAATTATGTATAAAGTAATGGTTAATGAACAATTAAGATAATTTAAAACAGTGTAAGGGAGGTAATCCAAATACAACGTTTTGGTTACTTCCCTTACACTGCTTTTAAATTATGTTTAAAGAAATGCATATTTATAAAGGAAGACCAGTAAAAATATCTGCAAATGTTGCATCTTTTTTTTTTTACAAAAAAATCCATATGAAGGATTTGACACTATATTTTAAATTCTATTATATAATAGATTAAGTTAGCACTATGGTAAATTTAAATGGGTAATTATGGTTTGGGGGAAAAAATGGGGGGGGGGTGGGGGGTCAATTTTTTTCTCATTTCAGATTTCAGAAATTAAAAAGAATTATTCTTCAAATATTATTTTTTTTTCAAATTTCAAATATTGAAAAATTTCAAGAAGTAATCTTTAATTGCACAGTATGGCGCATTAGATTTGTAAAATCTTTGACCACATTTATTTATTTGTTATGCCGAATCTAACGATGTATTTAGATTTTTAATTTTGGATCAAGTTTTCAAATTGGTCTACATTAAGGTCCAAAGGGTCCAAAATTAAAATTTGTTTGATTTTAACAAAAATTGAATATATGGGGTTCTTTGATATGCTGAATCTAAACATGTATTTAGATTTTTGATTTTTGGCCCAGTTTTCAAGTTGGTCCAAATTGGGGTCCAAAATTAAACTTTGTTTGATTACAACAAAAATTGAATATATGGGGTTCTTTGATATGCTGAATCTAACCATGTATTTAGATTTTTTATTTGTGGACCCCGCTATCAAATTGGTTCATATTGAGGTCAAAAGGGTCCAAAATTAAACTTTGTTTGATTTCATCAAAAATTGAATTATTGGGGTTCTTTGATATGCCAAATCTAACCGTGTATTTAGATTTTTAATTTTGGGTCCCTTTTTTTAAATTGGTCTACATTAAGGTCCAAAGGGTCCAAAATTAAACTTAGTTTGATTTTAACAAAAATTGAATTTTTGGGGTTCTTTGATATGCTGAATCTAAACATGTGTTTAGATTTTTGATTATGGGCCCAGTTTTCAAGTTGGTCCAAGTTGGGGTCCAAAATTAAACTTTGTTTGATTTCAACAAAAATTGAATATATGGGGTTCTTTGATATGCTGAATCTAAACATGTATTTAGATTTTAGATTTTTGGCCCAGTTTTCAAGTTGGTCCAAACTGGGGTCCAATATTAAACTTTGTTTGATTTCAACAAAAATTGAATATATGGGGTTCTTTGATATGCTGAATCTTACCATGTATTTAGATTTTTTATTTGTGGACCCCGCTATCAAATTGGTTCATATTGAGGTCAAAAGGGTCCAAAATTAAACTTTGTTTGATTTCATCAAAAATTGAATTATTGGGGTTCTTTGATATGCCAAATCTAACCGTGTATTTAGATTTTTAATTTTGGGTCCCGTTTTTTAAATTGGTCTACATTAAGGTCCAAAGGGTCCAAAATTAAACTTAGTTTGATTTTAACAAAAATTGAATTTTTGGGGTTCTTTGATATGCTGAATCTAAACATGTGTTTAGATTTTTTATTATGAGCCCAGTTTTCAAGTTGGTCCAAGTTGGGGTCCAACAAAATTAAACTTTGTTTGATTTCAACAAAAATTGAATATATGGGGTTCTTTGATATGCTGAATCTAACCATGTATTTTGATTTTGGACATTGGACCATAATAGGTAAATTAAAAAAAATGAAGTTCTTAGACCACATTCTTTCTGTGTCAGAAACCTATGCTGTGTCAAATATTTAATCACAATCCAAATTCAGAGCTGTATCAAGCTTGAATGTTGTGTCCATACTTGCCCCAACTGTTCAGGGTTCGACCTCTGCGGTCGTATCAAGCTGCGCCCAGCGAAGCATTTTATTAAATTCTTTTTCTCCCAAAGATTGTTTTATACACTTTACAGAAGTTATAGTGACCTATTTAAGTAATTATTACACATTGATACCATAACTATTACAGAGAAAAAACATTTGAGTACAGATATTTATATAATTATATTGTAAATTCTGAAATTTTCAAAATAAATTTATCATTGCAAAAATTGTTACAGAATTGGTATAGCAAATATAAATTAAAACTTTGATAGCATTATTTATATACAGCGTTTACTGAAACCTTACTAATTTATAATCTGACATTTTTGTACATTCTTCAAAAATCACAATAATTAATGTATGCAAAAATTTCTGAATTTACAGTATGTAATTTTATAACTGAACTTAAGTCAGTTGAAGGGGCCACTTTCGATACCCAATCTTATATAAGAATAAAGAAACGTTGGATTCATGAACTTGTAAATGTCATCAACCTTCCAAAGACAACATGAATAGTTATATAAGGATTAAGAGATAAACTGCTCTGAAAATTGGCCAACATTATTTTTTATTTTATATTTGAAACATTCATATTCAATAAAAAGATCTGCTATCTTAACAAATTAAATGAGATAAGCAGCATTACTCACCAATATAATGTCTTGTCAATGTATTCTTTGGTTAACTCCCTTTAATAGGAGTGCTGTCCCCTGTTGCTGCAATATTACACTTATTCAGTGTAGTAGTAGATTTTGTATAGCTATGGTAGAATTGACATATGTTTATATGCGTATTAGAAGATTGGGAAGTAGTTGGTTTTAACCACGATAAACTAACCTACCTTCGGTAAAAAATTATTGTGACAAAGAAATACTTTATTATTCATTCTTGAGAAAAGAACTATTGGGATTGTCAATATCAATGCCAGACTTTTTGCCGAAACACATTTTAGATTTAGCTGTATTATAGAAGCTGAATGTTTGTTTTATATATTTTTCAGAGGATATGAGAAGTACATGGATCATTCACCGTCACCTGTTCGTTACCATATACTAGACATGAAAAGACATTTCTCTGCCCCGGGTAGAAGACTTCAGGGAACCGTTACTTAAGGGAGATAATCTCATTCTAGGAACCAAAACAGTAAAGATAACTCATGACAATATCATTGTTGGATGAAGTTTTACATGGAGTGTTGTATGCCAGTGTCAAATTTGCAATTATATATTTATTCCTAAAACTGTTGTAACAGATTTCAATGTAGTTAGAAGAAATTATAAATTACTGATTATACATACTGTACTTACATGTAGATTAATTTATTTTTGCACAAATGGCAAATTAATATTAATGGTTGACAAACAACAGAAAATATGTTATGGGTTATATTTTTGTATTATTAAATTTTTATGCTTCATGCTCACTTTCATACAGCCTAAGTGCCCTTTCTGTTACATATTTTTAATATATATTTTTTCATACTGAATTTGACTTATTTTATTTCTTGGGTAAATATTGAATTCAGTATCTTTTTTTCAATGAAATTTGTTTGGAAAATACCTGTATTTATTGTGATATTTTGGTTGGTATTTGTGCCAAATTGTTTTATTTTATGTATGTGCCAATTGATGTCCTGTTTATTATCAGACGACTTTTTGAGCTTCATGTATGTGTTTAAAATTCGGTACAATAAGAGTAGAAAATTTAAATATTTTTCTGAGCAAAATTAAATGAAATATTTTTAAATATGATGGCATAATTAAAGATTTACATTTTTTCATCTTATATTCCACATAATATCTTTGAAAAATTGTACCGGTTACCATTTTCTGTGATTATTTATTCATTTGTATTTAAGTGTATACTTGGCTTTTAGTGACTACACAACAGCAAATAGAAATAAGTTATCCTGAATTAAAAGTGATTTTCAGTTGTCTGAGCACTTTGCCTCACAACCTTTATTGTACTTTCTGTAGGAAGTAACTCACAACTAAGACTTAATGACATAAAATCTTTATTCAACTCAACACTGACATTCGATGCATGCATCAAATTAAAGTTTCTGGTTGGTAATATTTAAATTTTATATGAAGTCTATAAAATACAATACTTAACTTATCCAAAAAAATGTTAAAAGTCAAGTCTAGTTAAATCAATTCAATGCATTTTTATTATAATTCCTAATTTCGTATGGACGAACACAAAGCTAATAAATAATCAACAGTTCTGAGGTAAATTTTAAGTTCAAAAGACAATGTTGTTTTCATCTCATTCAAGTGGTTATTACTTCAAGTTTTCAATATCACAGTGAGTAGTAACTTGTAAAAATGTTTGGAATAGAAAGGGGGGTCTGGTTGCCATGTATGTGGATGGTTGTGACATTTTAAAATTTTATTTAGTTTTGAAAAAAATATTTTAAGAACTTGATTCCATTATTCTCTCTTGGTGCTGTTTACTATCTAATATAATGACTTAGATCACTGTTAAATATGCAAATGAAAATCATCTTACTTATTTATGGGTGGTGGTAGTTTTGAATGCACCATGTATATCTTCTAAAAGATGTTTATCTGTTGTGCTATTTGCCTGCTTTAGTTTGTGACCAACCTCTATATTAGGGTTGTTAAAAAGATGCTTTAATGTATTATGTGATTATGATTATTATAATATGAAAACCATCTGTCTAAATGTTACTTCAACATTATTTTTGAAATGAAAATACATGTTATATATATCATGATATTAGTTAGCCCCTTTGGTGTTGCATTTGCCTAAAAAAAATGGGTGAAAGTTTAAGAAGAAAACATGTTTTATAAAATCTGGAAAAGTCGTTTTTCTTTGTGTTAAAAAACATATTTTAAAATTTTATGGAAAACCTAAAATATTTTGCACAATATCTCTCTTAAGTTAACACTGAAAACAAATGAAAAACTTAAAAGAGTATACACTTGTTAGCTCCTTTTGAGTTGAATGGGAATTTAGAGGGAAACTGTAATAGCTTTTATTAGGATTAATTGAATTGTTTTGCTTTACCAAACATTTGTTCTGCCTTAAAAAAGGTCTTATTTTAATAAAAAAAAAATGTATTACTCCACCGACATAAATATCTCAGTGAAGGTCCCGGTTTCATTAGTAGAATCTTTGGGTAGATAAACTGCATATTGTAAGTCGTTTACAAAAAAAACAATATAAAATCGATGAATAATGTTATTATTTGAATGTATTTAAATTATCTGGCATAAAAAGGCAAGAGATCATTATTTTAGATTTTACACTTAAAAGCATATAAGAAAAGACACATAAAATTGAAATCTAGTTGACCTTTTTTCATGAGTAGCTTGCAAATTGTTCAATAATATGTTGTTATGCTATGGTAATATTATATGAATCTTTATAAGAAAATTGTTATAAATTAACATTTTTGAAGTGAGGAAATTCTTTCTTTAAGATTAAAACTCAAAATTGGCTGCCTAAAGATATGTCTCATATTAATTTTCTTTAAACAAGTGATTAAAGATTAGAAATAAAAAAAATTCTTACAAACTGAGAGAAGTTTGAGAAGTTAACTACATGTTTTATCATTGATAATCTTAAAAGTGCCTAAATGTATATTACTCAACAATTGCTCATCACTTTCTTAGGTTTATCACAAAATTAGGGTAGATCCAGGTGGAATATGGCAAAATATTTGTGTTTCAAGTGCATTTTCTGTTTTTCACCTGAAAAAGCAGGTACCCCTTTTCTGCCAAATTTTCGGTTTGACCCTCTTTTTGAAAATCCTGGATTGACCACTGATGGTGATTTTATTACTGGTGATATTATACCTCTGTTTCTTTCTGTGATATTTTATAATGTACTGCTGATTATGTGCCTTTACAGATGATCTTTGTAGAATAAAAACATCAGTCTGTATACAGCTTTTATTTACTTTTTGTTGTCCCCTGCACAATGTGGTGTGGGGGACGCTGAAATTACAGGTATCCATCCGGTCTTGTAAGCACTTTCACATGTACTGTTTTTGCCAGATTTTTATGAAATTTATATCCAAGATTTATATAAGCAATGTATTGGACAAGTTTGCAAATCAGTGCCAAACAACTGTTTTTAAAGGAGTTATGCCCTCTTGAAAATATAAATTATATGGAAAATTGCATTGTAAGCGCTCTCACCCCTACTTTTCTGGTAGGATTGTTATGTAATTTATATCATAGGATTATATCAGCAATGTCCAGAGTGATTGTGAAAATCAGCTATGATAATTTATTTTATGAAATTTATATTGAAGGCTTATATCAGTAAGGTCTTGGAAGAGTGCAGACCAACTATTTTTACAGGAGGAATGCCCCTTGGATATAAAAATTGTATGGAAAATAACAATGTTAGCGTGCTCATGCCTACATTGCTTGTAAAATATTTATTAACTAGATGTGTAGGATCAACATGAATGGCCCCTCTCGCAAAAAAAGCTTCAAGCCATTTTTAGTAGTTGAAATTTGAAGCCCGTAATTTCGGAAAAAATCAGCTGAGCGGAACCAAATGTAAACTTGATCTGTAACTCATCATAGTAGACTAACATACTAAAAATCAGCTCAATATGTGAAGGAGTTTAGAAAAAGTCCATATAACTGTTATTTTCATGAAATTTTCAATGTCCAAACCCAATAATTTCGACAAAAATCAATGGAGCCGTACCAAACTTAAACTCGATCTGTAACTCATCATAGTAGACTCACATACTAAAAATCAGCTCAATATGTGAAGACGTTTAGAAAAAAAGTCTGTATAACTGTTATTTTGACAAATTTTTAAAGTCCAAAGCTTCTAATTTCTGCAAAAATCAGCGGACCTGAACCAAACATAAACTTGATCTGTAACTTATCATAGTAGACTCGCATACAAAAAATCAGCTCAATATGTGAAGGCGTTTTTCAAAAAAAGTCTGAATAACTGTTTGTTGCGGAATGACGGATAAGGGTAAAACTGTATGGCCCAGACCATTTGTGGTGGGACCATAAAAAGATTTAAAAAAAGATTAAAGTTTTTTTTAAATCATTGCCCTTGATCAGATAAAAAATATGTGCAACACAGGGACATTTGAATGCTTCTCTTTTATTTGATGAGATTAACCATGACTTTTTAATTATACCGTCAGTTTTATCTATTCAGATTTAACCAAACTTGGCCACAATCATCATTGGGGTATCTAGTTTAAATAAAATGCTCCGTTGGGCGCAGCTTGATACGACCGCAGAGGTCGAACCCTGAACAGTTGAGGCACGTATGGACACAACATTCAAGCTTGATACAGCACTGAATCTGGATTGTGTTTAAATATTTGACACATCACAGGTTTCTGACACAGAATGAATGTGGTCTAAGAACTTAAAAATTTTTAATTTACCTATCCATATCATTATTATTTGCTTTTATATATAAATCAATCAGAAATAATCAATTAAAAATGGAAAATTTTAAAGAAAAAAAAATCCCCCCCCCCAAATTTTTTGAACCCCCTTATGATTCATCACCCCAAACTCAATCCCAGCCTTCCCTTTGTGGTATGGTACCTGCAGTACAATTTCAGAGAGATCCATTCACTTGAACACAAGTTATTGTCTGGAAACAAGAAAAATGCTTGTTTTTTGGCCCCAAATTCCTAAACGTTTAGGGCAATTACCCCGAAACTCAAACCCAGCTTTCCCTTTGTGATATGGAACCTTGTAATACAATTTCATAAAGATCCATACACTTACGCACAAGTTATTGTCCTGAAACGAGAAAAATGCTTGTTTTTTGCCCCTTTTTTGGTCCCTAATTCCTAAAATTTTGAAGCAATTACCCCCAAAATCAATCCCAGCCTTCCCTTTGTGGTATGGTACCTTGCAGTACAATTTCAGAGATATCCATACACTTGAACACAAGTTATTGTCTGGAAACTAGAAAAATGCTTATTTTTGGCCCCTTATTCCTAAACGTTTTGGGCAATTACCCCCAAACTCGATTCCAGCCTTCTCTTTGTGATATGGAACCTTGTAGTACAATTTCAGAAAGATCCATACACTAACATACAAGTTATTGTCATGAAACAAGAAAAATGCTTGTTTTTTGCCCCTAATTCCTAATATTTTGAGGCAATTACCCCCAAAATTAATCCCAGCATTCCCTGTGTGATATGTAACCTTGTGGTACAATGTCAGAGAGATCCATACACTAACACACAAGTTATGTCTGGAAGTTACAAAAATGCTTATTTTTGGTCCCTTTTTGGCCCCTAATTCCTTAACTGTTGGTACCATAACACCCCCAAAATCAATCCCAGCCTTCCTTTTGTGGTATTGAACTTTATGGTAAAATTTCATAGAGATCCATTCACTTAAACAAAAGTTAGAGTGCGAAAACCAATGTGTCTTCGGACGACAAAAGCGACGCCAACATCATACCAATATACGACCGCAAAATTTTTTTGCGGTCGTATAAAAATGTGTCCGATGACCCCGCCTGCCAACCAAGATGGCCGACATGGCTAAAAATAGAACATAGGTGAAAACCGTTATAGAGAAAATCTGACTGGGCAAAAATGTTCAGAATGTTGAGCTCTACCAATTGTTCATATGCGCAAAAACTGTCAGATGACTTCTTATAGGAGTTATTGCCCTTAAATGACAAATTTTACAATTTTTTTCATTTTTACCTATTATCTTGAAAACTTAATAGATGGGGATAAACTTAAAATTGCATAAATGATCAGCAAAACAAGTTCTACAAATAAGTCTTCATGGTCGAAATCGTCAGTCAACACCTTTTTAGAGTTATTATCCTTTAATGACAATTTTTACCAATTTTTTGTGTTTTTGCCTTATATCTTAAAAATTATAATAGATAGATAGAAACTTAAATAAGCAAAAATGATCAGCAAGACAAGATCTACAATTTAGACAAATGGAGGAAATCGTAGGACGACAACTTATTGGATTTTTTTTTGGCGTTTTGCCTTTTATGATAAAAATTAAAACACTTTAAATCACAATAATGATCAGCAAGGCAAGATCTACTAACAAGTCAAATTTTGCCGATATAGTTAGAAGATTGTCACTCTTTATAGGAGTGATTGCCCTTAAATGAGGATTTTTATACCCTCTTTTGTGTTTTGAGCAAAAACTAAAGAAGATAGAGAGAAACTAAACAGACTAAACAAGTGAATCTGTGAGCTACTGCTCACTAATGATACCCCTGCCCCGCTAAAAGTATAAGGTAAACAGGAAGTTGTTGAGTGATGAATCTGAAAACGCATCACAAGGTATAGCTAGCTGACTCATATAAACCCTGAAACCAAATTTCAGAAATCCTTGTGATGTAGTTCCTGAGAAAGATGCGATGAAAAATATTCATGGGACTGACGGATGGACAGACAGAGGTAAAACAGTAACCCCTACTTTTTAAAAGCGGGGCTATAATGATCATTAATACAAGATCAACAAAACAAATTTTTGTCATGAATTCTATTCTCGTCTGCAATGTTGGAGAGGGTCCTTTTTAGCTCACCTGGCCAAAAGGGCCAAGTGAGGTTTTCTCATCACTTGGCGTCCGTTGTCCATCATCGTCTGTCATCGTCGTTGACGTCCGTCGTCGTCGTTAACTTTTTACATTTTGAACTTCTTCTAGAGAACTACTGAATGGAATGAAACCAAATATGGCATGAATGTTCCTCATGAGGTGCTGACCAAGTGTTGTTACTTTGTAGTCGATCCATAATCCAAGATGGCTGCCAGCGGGGGACCTTATTTAACATAGGACCCTATGGGAAATACATACAAATGTCTTCTTTTAGAGAACCAGTGAATGGAATGAAACTAAACATGGCATGAATGTTCCCAACGAGGTGCTGACCAAGTGTTGTTACTTTGCAGTCGGTCCATCATCAAAGATGGCAGCCAGCGTGGGACTTAGTTTAACATAGGACCCTATGGGAAATACATACAAATGTCTTCTTTTAGAGAACCACTGAATGGAATGAAACAAAACATGGCATGAATGTTCCTAATGAGGTGCTGACCAAATGTTGTTACTTTGCAGTCGGTCTATAATCCAAGATGGCAGCCAGCGTGGGACTTAGTTTAACATAGGACCTTATGGGAAATACATACAAATGTCTTCTTTTAGAGAACCACTGAATGGAATGAAACCAAACATGGCATGAATGTTCCTTATGAGGTGTTGACCAAGTGTTGTTTCTTTGCAGCTGATCCATCATCCAAGATGGCCGCCAGCGGGGGACTTAGTTTAACATAGGACCTTATGGGAAATACATACAAATGTCTTCTTTTAGAGAACCACTGAATGGAATGAAACCAAACATGGCATGAATGTTCCTTATGAGGTGTTGACCAAGTGTTGTTACTTTGCAGCCGATCCATCATCCAAGATGGCCGCCAGCAGGGGACCTTATTTAACATAGGACCCTATGGGAAATACATACAAATGTCTTCTTTTAGAGAACCACTGAAAGGAATGGAACCAAATATGGCATGAATGTTCCTTATCAGGTGTTGACCAAGTGTTGTTTCTTTGCAGCTGATCCATCATCCAAGATGGCCGCCAGCGGGGGACTTAGTTTAACATAGGACCTTATGGGAAATACATACAAATGTCTTCTTTTAGAGAACCACTGAATGGAATGAAACCAAACATGGCATGAATGTTCCTTATGAGGTGTTGACCAAGTGTTGTTACTTTGCAGCCGATCCATCATCCAAGATGGCCGCCAGCAGGGGACCTTAGTTTAACATAGGACCCTATGGGAAATACATACAAATGTCTTCTTTTAGAGAACCACTGAAAGGAATGGAACCAAATATGGCATGAATGTTCCTTATCAGGTGTTGACCAAGTGTTGTTTCTTTGCAGCTGATCCA